TTAAATACAAATTCAAATATACAAAAACCCATCATTTATAAATTAATTGGTTTCTAGAAATTGTAATCAATATGAATAAATTAAAAGTGTATTTATAGAAATTCAATTTCATCATCATCAGCTCACTATACGTCCCCACCAAAGGGCTCGGAGCCTACCCTAAGTTATGGGTGATTAGACCATAGTCAACCACGCTGGCCAAGTGCGGGTTGGTTGACTTCACATATCTTTAAATTTCTTCTCAGATATATGCAGGTTGCATCACGATGTTTTCCTTCACCGTAAGAACGTCGGATAAATGTACATATGTAAATCGGAAATCGAAAAACACATTGGTACATGGCGGGATCGAACCCAGGACCTTTAGATTGCAAGTCAAATGCTTGACCACTGAGCCACCGACGCTCTTACGTATGAAATTTTTTCACGATTTAATAAATCTTGGTGAGTTTTTAGAGCAAATGTAATACATTTTGTTTGAAGGTATCTGCAGAACGGCTTCATAGTAAATGTAGAAAATATTCTGAAAGAACACATAAGCTACTAAATTAGTTTATTTTTATTCTTCGCGGACGGCATCGCGGGCGACAGCTAGTAACCAAATAAAGTAAACGCAAGTTAATTTTAGTCATTGGATGATTTGAATGATGACATATCATAATGATGATAAATATTAAGATATCATAGTGGTATTTCTGAAGATGTTAGAACTATTTTGCAATTTCTATATTTTATTTATTTTGCGTATTTATGACATGAAATATTATCTACATGTCACGGTCAGATATTTGTCTAGATCTGCCTAGGCGATAAAATCAATTTGTTCCAATCTGACCTCGTGTAATATTATCATATAAATAATAAAAATATTGTTTCGTTATCCAAATAGTAAAATGCATTTTGTCATTTTAAATATTTAAATCAATTTCATAAATATCGATCGATGTTGCAAAAAAATTATAAATCGATTTATTAAGTGTTTAGTGTTGCCATATTTCATGATATCTGAACGAATTTATTAACATAATTTAAATTTAAAAAAAATATGACAAGACCTAAACTGTAGCATCTACATTATAGACTTCTTAATTAAGCTGAGTGAGTATTTTAGTGGAGCTTTTTCATCTTAAATTTATACTAAAGGACTGTTGACAACTGTGATTAGGGCAATAACTCTATATATTTTTACTTTTAATAGAGTTTTAAAACACTTTAATATTTAAGGGCAACGCCTTTTACGTCACACGTCAAAAGATCGGCATTTTAATTTATTACTAGGAATTATTTAAATTATAGCTAAATAGGACTGTCAAGCATCTAACCTTAACCCAATTACCATTAAAAACTGATTTTATATTTCATTTAATGGATATAAAAATATTATATTTTAAACGAAAATTTAAAATGTATTCATGGGTTTGTGTCAACCCTATACTAAATGAAGGTTTTCTTGCATCGTATTTCGCTAACAGACCGCATGTCTTTGTTTATTTAACCAATGCAATAGCAAACAAACCATTACTTTCCACTGCTAACATACATTTATAAATATTGTTGTCTTTGTTTCTTTAAAAAGAAAGAGAGTGATAGCAATATGTTTTCGTCACTGACCTATATAAGTAAACTGGCTATAAAACGTGGATTTTGTGCCTAATCGATATTCGCCATTATTGCAATGATGAGTGGTTTGTAGCAGTTTAGTAGATTCGAATTTATAGTATAAATAGAATTAACTGCCACTTATTATTTTTTTTAAATATCGTCAGGAGCGTTTGAACCAGAACGAAACAAAAGATGTTGTGGCCAAGAAATCGCCTATGCATTTTTAGAGATAAGTGGTTTTCGTATAAATTTGTCTGTGGTAACTGACAGATAAATATTTACTGCTTTTCGTTATCTATGACGCATGCATTATACAAACATTGCAAATATGTACATATTCAATGCAAAATGTAAAATCAAATATCTCTGTAAACAAAATACTCGACATGTTTGTAAATTAAATATTTTATTGAGTTTTATGATCGTATTATAAGATTGTTAATTGAAATATGAAATTCCATAGACATCTCCAACACGTAATGTTGCAAAAATACTATACTATTTCTTTTTCGTTCCCTGGCCCCTTTCAATGTCTATACCTTATTAGACAAATTGGGGTAAGGGACTAGATTAGGACCATCCAACTCACACTCATCAAACTAGGGGCTATTACTTCCACTTCATACCTGTTTGTGTGATACTGCACCGAAACCGTATAAGTAGAGCCGATCTGCTGCGAACTCTACCATTGCTAATATGAACTTTACATGCATATCTAAAAAACACCGTATAATCTCAGGCAATCTTCTTTTTGGCTCGATGTATTTATTGTGAATTAATCAAATATAATTAATATAATAAAAATATAACTGAAATCTCGTGAAAGCTGAAAAGGAAAAAGTGTTAAAATACCTAGATTTGGCTCACGAGGTTACCGCCATGTGACGTATGAAATCGACTACCATTATTCCGATAGTCGTATCGGCAAATGGACTGATAGCGAAGAGTTTCGACCAACATCTCAAGAAGCTCTCGCTAAACAGTTGGATTAAGGGTTCGATACAAAAGGCAGTTATCCTAGAAACCGCGCGCATCGTGAGAAGGTTCCTGTCTCTGTAGCCCTGACCACTGGTTGTTTGAGTCATGGGATTCCGCAGCCGGTGGTGTTGTTCTGTTTTTAATATAATATGTTTTGTATATATATATTTTTTGGATATGAAATGTATTATATTAAAAATATGTATACGTAATATAACTAACAATTATTTAATCGTATTTTGCCTCAATTTTACAATTAAATTCAAACTCATAAATACTAAAATACATCGTAATAAATGCCTCATTCGTTTTACGTTTTATTTATATATACATTACGTATGCAGCTGTCTCTGAGTGACAGACATCATTCATCACCTGTAATCACCTTGTAGTGATGAATGAATGTTTGTAAGCCATCTTGACAGTTAGAAATTAAACATAAAATTGAGGACAACGGATATTTTGTGTTAATCATTTTTACTTATAAATTATCACAGATAATTTTCATTGCAAGTTCAACGAAAATTATATTTTTTAATTAAAAGTTAAAGTTTGTTTAAGAAGAATGATTTTAATAAAAAGAATAAAAAAAATTAACACTGGTCAAATAGACAAGACTTTATCGTAAATTTAAATTTGGAATTCTCATTCGAACTTTGAATTAAAGAAGCGGTGGTGGAATGCGAAAAATTAATAACCTAAAAAGCGTCAATTCTTCCAACTTTACGACGTATCAGTAAAGGGGATAAACAGATAAACGATGTCGCAATCGAGCCGAGGTATTCGAACGTAATATTAAACGGCCAGCGTTAAAGTTTACTTTACAGACAACCAATATGAAGAGGTCGTATGATGACATACATTTTTCTGTTACATCGAAGCTTGTTGACTTTTAGTACAGACGCGCACAAAACATTGTTTCGAACAAATTTACTCGCGTACAAGACAATTGTAACTAAAACTAAAATTGTAAACGTTTTTTTACTTCGTATGTGGATTAAACGTTTCATTTTCCTGTCATGTTAGCAGTTTGCTCGGGTAACGATGTAATAATCGGTTGTTACGAACGGACCACCTTGACAATGACAATGATAAGTATAATTAATGTGTTTAATAATAACTACAATGTTTATCTCAAAGTCTTTACTGAATAACCGAATTCAAGTAGCCGATTGCTTGTTACGCCATCTTCTTCTATAAAAAAAAAAGTTAAAATATATTTCATGTGTATGTAAAACGTACTATTCTATACTACAGTACTATTACAGGAAAAAAAGTAAAATTATTATCTTTAAGATTGGGGAGACCAAAATCTTTGTGTATAACATATCGTCAACCCTGTCATTATCTTTGACTTAATAGAGATAACAATATTATCACTGAAACGGGAATTTTGGTCTCAGGAATACACGATTACTTAGTTATTCTCGTATCAACTAAAAATAAAATTTTAAATTACTGTTTCGAAGCATACTAGAGAAAATAAAATATTTTTGATGTTAATATAAACAATATAAATTGCTTGTTAACACTTTTGTACGTCAGTGTACGGATACGCAACTACGTGTGAATGATGAGTAGTGGTTGACCCGAGGCAAGAGGGCCGGCTCCCGCCAGAGCTACATCAAGTGATTCGTGTCCCAGTACTATTGTAGATGGGAATGTCATTGTAAAATAATTAAAACTCTATCTTGATGGCCAAAAATGATATCTGTTTAGGATTATGTTAATGATAATTATATGACGTATATTATATATTTCTTACTATAATATACAAAAAATATACAGACGAATTAATAACCTCTAACTTTTTCAAGCTCGTTTAAAATAGTCTTAGTAATATTATAAATGAGAATGTTTAGATGGATGGTTTGTTTGAAGGTATCTCCTGAACGGCTTAACAGATTTCGATGTAATTTAGCACACATATATAACAAAGTCTGGAACAACACATAGGCTACTAATTAAGTTTTTTTTTAATTCCACACGGATTGAGTCGCGGGCGATAGATAGTGTTCATTATAATTAAAAAATCTTGGCAGACAAAAAAATATATTTCTAATATGTTTAATCACGATTCTCATGATTAATTTCATTTCTTAACAAAGTGACACTTGAATATTACAAAATTGTTGCAATAATGTCATTTGCATTTACATCAATGTCGATTAAAAAGCATAGAGAAAAAAATACAAAGCATTAGCCAGCTTACGTTTATGTAACTGCAGCGCTGGAGTTTTTTTAATGCTTGTAATTTTTCTATTGTCATTACTTCGCTCTAACTACATACATGATTGATGTTTTGCAATCAATGAATTAAACAGGGCATAAAAAACAACGCATTTACTGTCTTCTTTTTTAAACTAAACCTCTTATAAGAACATTCAAAACAGGACTTTACATTTCTCATTTTGTTACAGAAGCAGTACTGCGACACAAGAACCGAAGTCTGCTGTAGATTAGACGCCTCTTTATCCGGAATACCTCAAACTCCACTTGGAGTTGGCTTCGCTACTTCCGATACTGAAATCCAAGGATCCGGACTACTAAACACGCAGAGCACAACCAACCAGGGCTTTGGAGTTCAAACCGCATTCAATGGAGCTTCCAGCTACGACGCCAACCAAGCTACTGTAGGCAACAACTTCGGTTCAACCGTACCCGTCGTGACCGCCATCCCAATTGGCTCTACTGGCGCTTTTGGTCCAACAAATACTCCCACTGGATTTACTGGCTCCACTCTCCGTCCAGTGTCAGGCCAAGGCAACGTCCTTAACACTGATACCTTTACTTCTCAGAGCGAAAACACAAACGTGTTCAGGCCCGGGGCAGTCGGTACCGGCCTCAAACCTGGGATTCCTTACCTACCACCCGTCGACAACACGAACAGCGGCACCAACGTCGTCAGTTCTACTGTATTCCCATCAACTCCTTTGTTCACAACCCCCCGTCCAGTTTCCACCCCCCGCCCAATCCTTCCCCGTCCAGTCACCACACCCCGTCCTTACACCCCCGTACGTCCAGTGACGACCCCACGCCCTGTAAGCAGACCAACGTACTTGCCTCCTGTGTCTTCCACCTCCGCTCCTGGATATTTACCCCCAGTGGGAGAACAGACCATAAACAGGGAAACCTTTGTGCCCAGCCCTGACTACAATGAGGGTGGAATTATTCTGGATGAATCAAGATTTCCTTCAACAACTCGTCAGCCAATCGTACCTGTTCTAAGTAAGTTTTTGTACATTAGGTCTTCGATTTTAGTTTTTTATAAATTTTTACTTCATTATCTCCAAGAAACCAAAGGCCTGTTTCACAACGTTCAAGTGAAGTCATCGTTGGCTTTTCACAATCTACATGGTAAATAAAGTCCCAAGTAAAATATAAGTTGACTTGTCCGTCAGATAAGGAAGATATTTAAATGATCTTTGTGAAACATGCCCAAAGTATAATACTCTGTTCTGATAACCAGATGAAATCCCTGCTGGATGCGCTGCCGCTTTGAAATGTACTCCCATCGAGTTCTGCACAGCTGATGGAATCATCTCAAACACAACAATTATTCTATCAAGAGATCAAAATGCATACAGAGTACCACTTACTGTAAGTAGAAAGTCTATAGGAATTAAAACGATGAGCTATAACAATAAATTGCTACTCGTTTTTATGCTTATTTCAAAACTACCGTGTCTTTAAAACAGGACTGTAAAGACTTGGCGACTGGTCGCATCGGCAAATGCTGTCGTGATCCCTTCTACACTGACCCCTGGCCCACCAACCAGCTCGGCAAGTGGGTTCCTGGTGTATTCGGCGGAAACGACGGCAAATACGTACCTGATAATCGCGACAGTTCCAGCACGATTCGCAACCAGGTCACTGGCAGACCTGACGTCACTGGAAGCACTCTTCTGAACATTTTCAGGTAACGTTGTGGAGTAAAACGAATATATTTAACCTAAAAGGCCTAGACTTAGATTTTATTAAATTATTTGTAAAGAGTTTATTACCATTTGGAATCACATTTTTTCTGGTACGCATAATCTTATTAAGAATTGAAAGAGATATCATGAGTACATTTTCTAATAATTATTTACTTTACAGCTTATTGGGTTTACAGATAATAAAAGTATACAAAATTAGTGTTAATATTTAATTTTATTTTTGCAGGAACCCAAAAACAACACCTCCTACTTTTGGAACAACCCCAGGTCAGGGTGTGCAAATCACACCGGGTTATAACCAAGTGCCACAATTTGGTCAAGGGCAATTCACTAAAGGTGGTGTGGGTCAATTCGGTCAGGGTGGTATTGGTCAAGTAACTCAAACCGGTATTGGACAATACGGTCAAACAGGTATAGGTCAAACTGGCCAGGGACAGATTGGCCAAACTGGGTTTGGGTTAATTGGTCAGGCTGGTATCGGTCAAACTGGTCAGGTTGGTGTTGGACAGAACGGTCAGGTCGGTGTTGGAGAGTACGGAAAAGCAGGTGTCGGCCTAGTCGGTCAAGCTGGATTTGGGCAGAGGGGCCAAGTCGGAGTAGGACAAGTAGGTTTCGGACAAAGAGGACAAGTTGGAGTTGGACAAAGAGGACAAGGTGGTATCGGCCAAATAGGACAAGTGGGAGTGGGACAAAGAGGACAAGTTGGAGTTGGGCAAGGAACTCAAGTTGGTATTGGCCAAAGAGGACAGGTGGGCATTGGACAAGTCGGACAAACTGGCATCGGCCAAGTTAGTCAAACTGGGACTGGATTAATTGGCCAAGCTGGCATTGGCCAAACAGGTCAAGTTGGAGTAGGACAAATTGGACAAGGGGGCTTTGGACAAAGAGGACAAGTTGGCATTGGACAAATTGGGCAAGGTGGCCTAGGGCAAAGAGGACAAGTTGGAGTAGGACAATTTGGACAAGGTGGCATTGGACAAAGGGGACAAGTTGGAGTTGGACAATTTGGACAAGGCGGCATTGGACAAAGAGGACAAGTTGGAGTAGGACAAATTGGACAAAGAGGACAAGTTGGAGTAAGCCAAATTGGACAAAGAGGACAAGTTGGAGTAGGACAAATTGGACAAAACGGTATTGGACAAAGAGGACAAGTTGGAGGAGGACAAATTGGACAAAGCGGTATTGGACAAAGAGGACAAGTTGGAATTGGGCAAGTCGGACAAACTGGCATCGGGCAAGTTGGTATACAGGGTATCGGACAAGTTGGCCAAGCCGGTATTGGCCAGAGGGAACAAGTCGGCATCGGACAAAGAGGTCAAGTTGGCTTTGGACAAGGAACTCAAATTGGAGTTGGACAAAGAGGCCAAACAGGTGTTGGAGTTATTGGTCAAGCTGGTATTGGGCAAACTGGACAAGTTGGACTTGGACAAATAGGACAACGTGGTCAAGGCGAAATAGGCCAAGTTGGAGTTGGTCAAATCGGAATTGGACAAAACGGTCAAGTTGGTATTGATCAATTAGGCCAAGGCAGTGTTGGACAAATTGGTCAAACTGGAATTGGTCAAATCGGCCAAACAGGCGTTGGACAAATCGGCCAAACTGGTGTTGGACAGATTGGTAATGTTGGAGTGGGCCAAGTTGGTCAATATGGAGTAGGACAAAGGGGCCAAGTTGGTATAGGGCAAAGAGGACAAGTCGGCATTGGTCAAGCTGGTTTCGGTTTAGCTGGACAGACTGGCGTAGGTCAAACTAACGTTGGTCAATATGGGCAAGCTGGAATTGGACAAGGCGGCCAAGGTGGTGTAGGTCAATACGGCCAGGCTGAAACTGGCCAATATACTGAAAATGGTATTGGACAATACACACAAAATGGTGTAGGCCAATACACTCAGAATGGATTAGGACAATATACACAAACTGGAGTCGGACAATACAGTCAACGACAAATCATTGGTCAAGGTAATCCTTACTAACCGATTACAACTATAATCTGATGAAAATGCTAATAGATTCTCATTTAAAAAAATGTATTTAACTGTATTTTATACACAATATTAGTTTTATTATACTATATAACTTACTTATGTCATAAAAACCATCACAAGTCAAAGTATAAATCGTCGAAACAAATATTGTATTGCGTCAAGGGAATCGGGTTGCGCGTGCTTGTACGCACAAAGTTAAATCGTCGACGCGAATCGTCTATTCCTTCAGTACAAGCATAGTGACTTTTCTCACCACAATCTTGACAATCAGGTTGCGAGCGTCTGTCTCCGCCAATGCTTTGGGAACCTTTTCGACTTGTTTTGTTTTAATTCTTGGGATTCTATTAGCATTTCAACTGGGTTATACATAATTTTGTGATTAATAATTTAATTTGTGTTTTCGTGTTCATTATGTGTTGCATGCTTTGAATTATTAATTAAAATGTGTTCTAATCAACATTATCAAATTGATATTACAAAACGCTTTTTGTGTTTAACATAAGTGTGACTACTTAAAATAATACGTAACTTGTAACTATTAATATTTAATAATAACAAAAACATAGAATAAGTATTAGATGGTTTTAAAATCATTGACCTTACGTTCTGGAGAAAACATGATAAAACTGAACAAATGAACGAAAGATAATAACACAAATTGTGAAATGTCAATAATATTAATATAAAGCCTCAGAAATAGCTTAATACCAGTAAAAACAATTGCTTATTAGAATTTCAAAAATTATTGTATAAACATCGAACTTTTTATTTTACTCGAATTCATGTTCTCTCCATTGTGTAGATTAAATGATTTTTTAGAGCCTACATTCAATTAGATTTATTTATTTAATAGAATATTTATCACCACAGGACAAGGTGAGATCGGCATTGTTGGTCAAGGACTTGGAATCGAGCAGGGACAGGTAATTTTTTAAATACATAATAAAATAAGACGAAAAACTTCACAATACATATTATAAATTCTATTAATAATTCCTCAAAAGTGACAAAGAAAAACTCAAATAGAGTTACAAAACCGAGGAAAATATCCAATTTTAACAACAACAATTTCAAAACAAAACTTTGCGATATCTGGCTTTGTTTTTCAAAAATCTCGTTATCATTATCAGGGCAGTATCATAAGCCAAGGTAAAGGACAACGCAACAAATTCGGCCTGGTCTCCCAAGGCATCCAGCTTGAGACCGGACAAGGGCAATACACTGAGCAAGGAGTGGGCAAGACCGTTGTTCAGGGTGGAGGCGTGGGCATACTGCAAGGCGGCGGCGTGGGCATCCAACAAGGCGGCGGCTTGATAACTGAGAACGAGTATGGCGCCTCTACTAACAGGATTTACCTCCAGCGGTACGACGGTGCCGGACAGTGTGGTGTTAAACATGTAAGTATTATATTACTAATATTAAATCCTTGAAATCGAAAACACCGACCGAATATTGATTTCGGTCATAGATAGGGAGGAATTAATCAAATCAACTACGAGCGATGACATGAAACATCTATTAGCATTGAAAAACTCAATCTAATAGAAAAAGTTACGAAATAGTCGATTTCATCACGATATCAGAGGTTATGGTTCAAAGTCAATCCACGATAATTCTAAATTATTTTGACTTAAAATTCATATTTCATTATATTGTAAATACTAAAATATATGTTTAATAAATTACACTTAACCCTGTAAATGGAATGGCTAAGAAATGATAGCATTTTCTTCGTACCGACATAAACGCGCCTGTTGAAATTCCTGACAGTCAATTCTATATTAATTCAATTCCTCCCCACCGCTACGGACCGCAACCGTCAGAGCCAAAATGGCGATCATGAAATAGGCACAAAATAACACGGCTTATAACCTTGTCTATGTGTCAGTGGCAACGAACTATATATTATTGGGACTATCAAATAATTTGGGGGATGGAAGAAGACTTAATTAAAAAGAGATTGTCTACTGAGATGACAGAAGATAGATCGATATTGAAAAGTATGACAAAACCACATGAATTTATAATTTAAAAACGTCTAAACAATTCGAATATCTATTAAATTATTCAAACTTTCGTGAGACATTATACTAAACTGATATATAAAAACGGCTAAACACTCACGTATATTTTTCCGGTGGCGGCACCGACTAGTAGACCGAGTGAGCTGAGGGCCGCGTCCGCGAAATAATACCAGTACCACTCATCCTGAAGAAGGGCCCCCGATGGGCTCGAAACTAGTCGAACACACCACCGGACGAATATACGAGAGTGTTTAGCCGTGTTTATATATCAGTTTAATTCGAATATCTCTTTAGTTCTTAAAATCCGTTTAAAATGTCATAAACAAACAGCTCGATATGACAATATTAATATTGTACAAAATCTTGTTTGAAAAAAAAAGAAAAACAAGTTGTTAATTATTCTGAATTGTGTATAATGTATACAGAAGTTTGGCAAACTGCTCATAAATAATCATCGGTAGATATAATACGTGTAGATTTTAATCAATATTTAATTTCATTATGTAAATTAGGCATACGAATAGAGAAATATTTTACGACCAATAAAATTTATTTCCAAATAGGGATTTACAACTAAATATATCAAAAATATAACCAAAATCGAAACAACATTTTTTAACAATTACGTATCACTGTAAATCTAATTTTTCAAAACTTTTTAAAGTCTATGTTTGTTAGTATTTAGAAGTCTTTTTTCCCAGTTGAAGAAACATTGCAGTAAGATATTTTATACATTTATTTATCATATTTTTAATATAGTACATTTCATATCCAAAAAAATATATACAAAACATATTATATTAAAAATAGAACACCACCGGCTGCGAAAACCCATGACTCAAACAACCAGTGGTCAGTGCTACAGAGACAAGAACCTTCTCACGATGCGCGTGGTTTCTAGGATAAATGCCTTTTGTATCCAACTGTTGATCGAGAGCTTCTTGGGATGTAGTTAGATATATTTTTACGATAAATCAATGGTGATTGTTTAGGTTGTAATCTACAATTGTCTCTGTCAAATTGTAAATTGTCGCCTAAATAAGAATATAAAAATCCTTCCCTTGTGGTGTTAAAACAACCTACTTATTAGTGTAGTTGGATATTTTTCCACAATATACTGTCTCATCATCATCATCAGCTCACTATACGTCCCCACTGCAGGGCTCGGAGCCTACCCTAAGTTAAGGGTGATTAGACCATAGTCAACCACGCTGGCCAAGTGCAGGTTGGTTGACATCACATATCATTGAATTTCTTCTCAGATATGTGCAGGTTGCATCACGATGTTTTCCTTCACTGTAAGAACGTCGGATAAATGTACATATGTAAATCAGAAATCGAAAAACACATTGGTACATGGCGGGATTCGAACCCAGGACCTGCACTGCAAGTCAAGTGCTTCACCACTGAGCCACGGACGCTCCTTATATTTTTATATTCTTAAACAAGCTATAAAATATCATTAATTAAGATCAATGAACTAACGTAAAGTTTATTCACTTTAAAACAAGAAAATATGACATAAATTAATTATAAATGCTCTACATATACAGAAAATGTGTCAATTCCGTAAATAGCCGGCAATAAATTATACATGAATATATATTTAGCCGAAATCAAAAAGAAGAAGGTTATCAATACATCTGTATTTTTGTTACCGCGTAACTCCGCTCCTGGTGTTCCAATTTTGAATTTTTTTTAATCGTAAGGCAGTGCAAATGGGTCCCATTTTTTTTTACTGACTGGTAGTCTAGAAGATTTTATAATATTTGTGTAAAACATGTAAACCGATCTTACTAATATCATAAATGCCAAAGTTTAGATGGATGTTTGTTTGAAGGTATCTCCGAAACGGCTCAACAGATTTTGATGAAATTTTGCACAGATGTAGAACGTAACCTGGAAAAACATTTAGGCTACTCATTAAATGTTTTTTCACCTGGAATAGAATCGGTGTCAATTATTACTAACGTTCGAATTTAATATTTATAATCCTGTAGATTAATATTTTTAGAATAGGCGTAGTAAAGAAATAATTTATTAAATACATGTTGTTTTCCTAAACTTGTCTTAAATTTATTAAGATTAACATATTAACGTCATATCAATATGGTTTATTAAAAGTTGAATAATTAAGCCATATTAATATTTTTGTGAGTTACCAATGAGTGGAAAAACTTGTTCACATAAATTTTATTACCCCTAGACATCTGCAAAAATTAAAGCGAACCAAAAAGACATTGACAACTCGTACCAATAGATTTCTTTATCATATTAATTATAAATACCGAAAAACTATTGAACATATGTCTAAGCTCAAATAGCAAATGTTCAACTAGAAGATGCAACTAATTTATTTATTATATTTATCCAGGGCCAAAGACCATATGGAAACCACGACAACCTAGAGGTAGACTTCGCGGAGATCCCATGGCAGGCGATGGTGTTGCTGCAGTCCAACAAGAGTCTGCTCTGCGGCGGTGTTATCTCCAGACCTGACGTTGTGTTGACTTCTGCTTCTTGTGTTGATGGGTAAGGAGTGTTCTTTGTAATTAAACCAAAACTTTAAGGTTATGTTCAGGGTTCAAGTCGTAATGTAATGTTTATATTTATAGTAATTGCTCACCAAATACGTCTAACTTATCATTATTATTATTTAATTGTTAAATTTTTCCAGAAAATAAACAAAGATTTTTTTTCCAGATTGGACGCCAGGAACGTTCTAGTCAAAGGCGGCGAATGGAAGCTTGGAATCGACGATGAACCTCTACCTTTCCAGATCGTGCAAGTCAAAACGATCATTTTCCATCCAGGATACAGATCTGGCAGCCTTCAAGATGATGTAGCAATTCTTTACCTCAGTGAAAACCTACGGCTAGCGAACAACATTCAACCGATATGCATGCCTGATTCCTCAGACTCGATTAATGCTTTCTACAATGGAGGTGGACAATGTATTGTCACTGGATGGGGCAAGATAGTATTGCAAGGTAAGTTTTATAATCTGTTCGTTTACCGTCGTCAACGACCTAAGCCACTTTATTAGAAATTGACTAATTGATGGCCACAAGTTAGCTCTTATAACATTTTTAACAAAATCAATGACTGTCAAAGAAAAAATTAAACCAAGAAGTTACTCAACAAGGAGAAACACAAATTGGCGGCAATGCAAACTGTCAATGTAATAAAATAAACAAGATCTGTATAACGAAGTGTCAAATATGCGAGTCTCCTAATTGTATTGCGTACAAAAGTTTCACTGTTGTTCAGTTGCGTGTAGATAAAAGTTTGCGAAATTTTATTTAGCGTATAACAAATACGATAGGAAGTTAATCTTAACATTTTTGCGAACAACAATTCAAACATTGTCAGCTATAACAGGGCTGTTTAAATGAATACGATGTATATTTAAAAATTCCATTCATTTTTTAAATAACGTTTCATGGCCGTTGTACTTTTGACTTTTTGAATATTTGTTTTACGTTTATAAACTATAGTTTTATATAATTTTTCAATGAACAATCGACATCTATAACCGTGACCCAGACAAGATATTCGTTAAATGCCAACCTGACCCCGGAATCGAAGTCTTTATGTAATAATGAATCCAACGAATTTTTATATTGATACACGTAGTCCAGGGTAAGAGGTCTGGTTCTAGACTAAAATTCAGGGTGCAAGACTAGTCGTAAGCCATAGAGTAAGTATAATCGTAGAAACGGGTTTGTACGGGCTGATTACTAAGACGTGATAACTTTTTAAAAATTCCCCCTTAATAGAGACCAAAGAGGTTTACATGTAGGTAAAGCCATTATCGATTTTTAAAAAAATCTTTGAAGTGAGATTAAAGACGATGTGCATCGTAAACCGGTTGAATTAATAAAACACCGATTGGGCCGGCGAAAACTCGTAAACACAAGATATGGAAAAAGGAAAGTGTACGCGTAAGTGTTCGCCATTTTGGGGTCATTGTCGGAGCGGTAGCGATAGCATGAAAAAAGCGAAGCAATTAAATAATTTCAGGAAGGTTTCTGGAATTTTATAACTGCTTGGATTTAACTATTAATAACCTAAATTACTATCCAGTATATTTTACCACAATTATTATCTTAATTAAATAAATTCAGGTAGAAACCTTTGAGTCATCGAAAGTTTTAAGTGTTCAAGAATGTAACTTTTATTATTAAAGTTTTATATTCAAACGTTCAAATACTTTTCCAACGAATAAATTCTTCGTAATAACAATCAACCGGTCTCGCAAAACCAGTCATAAGCGTTTCTAATTGATCTAGCGTTTACATACAAAATTGTTAATTTTAACAACACACAAAAAATTATGCGGAAAATATTAATTTTTTGAATAAAAAAAAACGTTGCCCACAATCTTATTTCCTGGTGCATTTAAAATTTTAACTGTATTTAATGTAAAAAGCAAATAACCTCAAAATTTAGTTACGTCAATTACTACGTTGTTGCTATATCTTACTTCTTACTTATATTATAAATGCGAATGTGTGGATGGATGGATGGATGGATGTTTTTTTAAGGGATCTCCAGAACGGCTGAACGTGTCTCGATAAAATTTGGCATACATATAGAACATATAGGCTACTTATTATGTTTTTTTTAATTCCGCGCGGACGGAGCCGCGGGTCACCACTAGTTAATAATATTTAAGGTAAATATAACTTCAAGAGCCTCCGATAAACATTCCTTTGTTAACAAATTGTATTTGTTCTGTCATATATAATACCTAACATTGAATTATAATTATTTGACCTATCCATACAAGGCGGCCATCTTGAATTATTATTTTGGCACCACAAGGTCAATTTAATCTTTTATTTTCGTTAAAGAATAGATAAATCAAAAAGACTAAGGTATATTTAAATGTATACAAAATTAAAAATAATAGTTATAATTTAAATTTGCAGGATGTTTACGATAAATGTTAAACACTTAAGAAAAGGAAAAAGACGTCTTTTTTCTAAAATAATGCTCAAATACTTGTTAAATAAACTCTCTAAATTAACATATTCTTATCTTTTGATTTTATATTTCATAAAATGTTAAATGTAAAACTGCTTTATGATAATTTCTACCCGGATACAAAGAAGTTTGCTCATAGACTGTTTGTCATAAGCATACAAGATTCAAACTCAGTAAATCAAACGATCTTTGACGATGAGTTGAATAGAAAAAAAATGACGTAAATGCGTAATATTTACGAGTAACCGGTCATTGTCAACTCGCGCATTTTCAAGGTTAGAAAATTTAATTATTAATTGACGTCTGGTTTTGGAATATAACATGAAAAGTTTATGTCTCTAATATACAACAAAATCGAATTAAATTACGAGGGTATTAGACTCAGAGTTTTTAATTGATCACTAAGACACCGTTTAGCGTAAACTTAAATATAAGAATACTATATTAAAAGACTGTTTGAATAACTATTAAATGACGGTGAAGGCGGTGAATAACGAACATAATACCTTATTCAAACTTTCGTGAGACATTATATTAAACTGATATAAAAACGGCTAAAACTAGTCGGTGCGGCCACCGGATGAATATACGTGAGTGTTTAGCCGTTTTTATATCAGTTTATAATATCTTAGTTTAAAAAATAAGAGTTATAGAAAATAATTTAAAAAAAATGGCAACTTTCTTTGCTGACAGTACCGCAAACGAGTTTGTTATCCCGGCGTTGACCGCTGCACACCAATCACCCACTGTCAAACTGTCCGTCTGTCCGTGTAACATCACGTGTGTGTTACGCAATATTGTCAGTAATGTTTAACCGACTTTTGAACTAGGTTACTGTGGTCACTTCTAAGTGTTGCTTATGTAAATACTAGCCGTTGCACCCGACTCCGTCCGCGCGGAATTAAAAAAACTAATTAGTAGCCTAATATTATGAATGCGAGTAGTGGGTTGTTTGTTTGATAGAAGATATGTCCAGAACGGTTCCACGGGTGGAGGCGCAGACGACAATTAGTCTAGAAATAAATATTTTTCAATGAATAAGTCACATTTTTTCATACAATCGACCTTAAGCATAAAAAATGTCGTACCAATGTGGGAATTACTAAGAAAACATTGCCGCGGTATGTGTGGTCCTTCACGAAACATGAACTAACGTAAACAAGAACAAATTATGTGTATTTATAGAACTACTAGTTGTCGCACGCGACTCCGCCCGAGCGACATTAAAAACTTAATTAGTATTCTATGTGGTCTTCCAGACTATGTTCTACATGGCCTTTCAGCGGTATCCATGCATTAAATTATTCAAACTTTCGTGAGACATTATACTAAACTGATATAAAAACGGCTAAACACTCACGTATATTCGTCCTGAGGCGGCACCAGATGAATATACGTGAGTGTTTAGCCGTTTTTATATCATATCAGTTTGGTATCCATGCAGGTGATCTGGAGATATACCTTCTAACAAACATCTATCCATCTAAACATTCGCATTTATAATATTAGTAAGATTACGATGTAGCACCGGTTTGTGGAATGTATTGGAATCATTAGATTCGTATGAGTTTTTTTGACCGTGAGTTTACGCTAGCGAAATACTCGGACGATTTTTTTTTTCATAAATTCCAAAACCAATTTACATATCCTAAATATTTTATGGTCAACGTAGCTTTAAAATAAATATTCTAAGTTAAGGTTTTCCCGAACTGCCGTGCTAGCCTGCGATGTACTCTTATGTTAATTTGCTCAAAACCAGTTGTCTTTAAAGCATTTTAATAGTTTTTTATAAGGTCAAAGTTATAATAGAATTTAGCCGACACAATTATATGCTAAGAGCGTCGGTGGCTCAAGGGTCATTTGACTTGCAATCTGCAGGTCCTGGGTTCGAATCCCGCCATGCACCAATGTGTTTTTCCATTTCCGATTTACATATCCGACGTTCTTACGGTGAAGGAAAACATCGTGATGCAACCTGCACATATCTGAGAAGAAATTCAAAGATGTGTGTGAAGTCAACCAACCCGCACTTAGCCAGCGTGGTTGACAATGGCCTAATCACCCTTAGCTTAGGGTAGGCTCCGAGCCCCTCGGTGGGGACTTATAGTGAGCTGATGATGAATTATATGCTAATTAATATGAGACGGAATACCTAAAGCGTGCAATAGCCCGTCTAGGAACCTTATCAATCATTTTGACTCCTAGTTCTATACACGTATTAAAATATCTTTTATACTAGACTAACTTTGGAAAACAATGTATTTCGCGCATACAAATGTCAGTTCCACTGCAATCGCCTGACGACAAAACTGATTTTATCAAGTTTTTTTAAGAAAATAAATAGTCGCCAGTCGCAGTTCGTTATCGGATCATTAATAAAAGGTAGCCTATAATATGCTTACGTGTATCAACTACCTTGTTTAATCCCGTCGAAATTAGTCCAACTGTTTTGGACATTACGCAAGACAAACGCGGACAAATATTTAACTATTGGTTTTTCGTCATCAGCAGCGTAAATACGACATAAGTTCGTTTATTTTGATATAATTATAGACGTCCAATCTTTTATTTTTTTTCCTTATTATTTCCAGCTCACCTGGAAGGCAGTATCATGCACAGTGTGAACGTATCACTCATTCAGCCTAACGAGTGTGAAAGTAGATTGCAACAGAACTACCCTCACTTACTGGACAACTACGACCGCGACAGCTGCGCCTGCGGACAGCCTACTAATCCATTGAACAACATCTGCAAGGTGAGTGGATCATCACCAACCTGGCCTTATCCCACCCTACAGAGTTTCGACACAGTATGGACTACTCATCCATACTTCTCTATCAGCCGCCTTATCTGAATCCACCCCCTTCTTACACATATCCTCTATCACACACTCCATCCATACTTCCTGCAAGATGAGTGGATACAACACGAAGTTATTACACCTACAAACAAAAGAAATTAAACATGTTTATAGTTATTTTAGAGCGTCGGTGGCTCAGTGGTCAAGCACTTGACTTGCAATCTGCAGGTCCTGGGTTCGAATCCCGACATGTACCAATGTGTTATTCGATTTCCGATTTACATATGTACATTTATCCGACGTTCTTACGGTGAAGGAATACATCGTGGTGCAACCTGCAAATATCTGAGAAGAAATTCAAATATATGTGTGAAGTCAACCCGCACTTGGCCAGCGTGGTTTACTATGGTCTGTTCACCCTTAACTTAGGATAGGCTCCGACCCCTTGGTGGGGACGTATAGTGAGCTGATGATGATAGTTATTTTAATGGAATTTTCGGAGGAATGATGTGTAATTGTTTCTTAGTTTAGGGTAGCATTTGAATAGTGTAAGTATAACATTTTAATTATTATTTGCAGGTTGACATCGGCAGCGCCCTCGCGTGCACAACTGGTGATGGTTACTACGTGATGCAGGGTATCTACTCATGGGACTCAGGTGAGGATCCATCACGTATACAGCAATAGCAAGAACTACAATTTGCAACTAACTATCGGCTTCATTTGTTATCCCAAACTTCGATAGCAACGATATGCATTTTATAACGCAAATTGTAATTTCCAGGTTGTCAGGTCGGCAACCAATTGGCAGCATTCTACAAATTCGACATTGAATGGTACGAGTGGGCCATCGGACTAACAGAGAGCGTTCGCTACTCCCAGTACGGTGTCGGTACCAAGGTCACACAGACTAAGTACACAGGACAAGTGACCTCCGGTACCAAGGGCATCCAGTACAACAACGGATTTAAGGGAACCATCACTAATGGCGTCAAGGGCATCGGACAGGGCACACAAATCGGTGTTTCACAAGGCGTTACAGGTAAAGCCGAATTCAGTGCAGAACAGACCCATTTTTCGTGTTCATTACGTGTTGCATACGTTAATTTACAATGCTCGGCATAAAATCAATTTTTTCGCTACTTAATTATTGTAAAATTGTGTAATTTTGATGAACCAGATACAAGAAAATAAAGGAATCAACTGATTTTATATTTTAGAAAACATAAGAATGAGAAAAGAACTGTGCAAACTCATATAAATTATGCTACATTAACAGTTGCTTATTAAGCTATCAGAAATCATAAAATATTGTATAAAGTCAGTATTCTTTATTGAATTCAAATTCATATTCTCTCCATTACGTTGGTTACATGTAGTTTTAGAGCCTACATTCACTTGCATATATTATTTTAATATATTTATTGTCACCACAGGACAAGGTGAGATCGGCATTGTTGGTCAAGGACTTGGAATCGAGCAGGGACAGGTAATTTAATTCTACTTAATAGAGTAAGAAGAAAATCTTCAAAAAATATATTACAAAATCTATTAATGTCTCAAACGTAAAAGAGTAAAAATACAGAAGTGCTCAAAAAGTTTCAAAATATGAAAATATAGACAAACTACCAAATTTTACAAATCAAAAAAAACTTTGTTTGGCCTCCGGTATAATTTTTTCTCAAAAATTTTATTATCATTCTCAGGGCACTATTATAAGCCAAGGCAAAGGTCAACGCAACAAATACGGCCTGGTCTCACAAGGTACCATTGTTGAGAACGGACAAGGGCAATACACTGAGCAAGGAGTGGGCAAGACCGTTGTTCAGGGTGGAGGCGTGGGCATAGTTCAAGGCGGCGGCGTGGGCATCCAACAAGGAGGCGGTGTGGGCATACTGCAAGGCGGCGGCGTGGGCATCCAACAGGGCGGCGGCTTGATAGCTGAAAACGAGTATGGCGCCTCTACTAACAGGATTTACCTCCAGCGGTACGACGGTGCCGGACAGTGTGGTGTTAAACATGTAAGTATTATAATAAAGACATTATTATAGATTGATTCATTATTAAATAACGTTACTAGTTTTAAGCTGTGTATAATTAATATTCAATCCTTTAGATTGATTAGAAAATAATTGAATAATAAATGCAATAAAAATGGTACAAGACTGAATATTGATTTCGGTCATAGATAGGGAGGAATTAATCAAATCAACTACAAGCGATGACAAGAAACATCTAATAGCATTGAAAAACTCAATCTAATAGAAAAAGTTACGAAATAGTCGAATGATTTCATCACGATATTACAGGTTATGGTTCAAAGTCAATCCGTGAATATTGAATTCTAAACTATTTTCACTTAAAATTGACATTTGACTATATTTGAATTTGAAATATCAGTATAGGGGATACTCAAATATTGTTGTATAATATATTTTTATACTGTGTTAATAAGTATAGGTAATAAGAAAGGTGCTCAATTAAAAATGTCCCATTTGTTATTGAGGCTATCAAACTGTAAGGTAACAACAGGCTGCTAGGCTCACATAGCAAAGGCTCAAGTAGAAGATGCAACGAATGTATTTATTATATTTATCCAGGGCCAAAGACCATACGGAAACCACGACAACCTAGAGGTAGACTTCGCAGAGATCCCCTGGCAGGCAATGGTACTGCTGCAGTCCAACAAGAGTCTGCTCTGCGGCGGTGTTATCTCCAGACCTGACGTTGTGTTGACTTCTGCTTCTTGTGTTGATGGGTAAGGGGTTTTCGTTATAATTAAATCAACATTTGATCATGATGTTTATGTTTATGACTTTATGATCTAAGGTAAACGCAGCTAAAGAATTATTTAGTTATTTCAGTGTTAGATACTTGACGTGCAATAATAATTATGCAATATTTAATTTTGTTTCTGAGGATGCCGATAAGATTAAAAACTTCTATAGCAACATTTCATACCACATAAATTATTTTGAAATGAAAATAAACAAATATTTTTTTTTCCCAGATTGGACGCCAGGAACGTTCTAGTCAAAGGCGGCGAATGGAAGCTTGGAATCGACGATGAACCTCTACCTTTCCAGATCGTTCAAGTCAAAACGATCATTTTCCATCCAGGATACAGATCTGGCAGCCTTCAAGATGATGTAGCTATTCTTTACCTCAGTGAAAACCTACGGCTAGCGAACAACATTCAACCGATATGCATGCCTGATTCCTCAGACTCGATTAATGCTTTCTACAATGGAGGTGGACAATGTATTGTCACTGGATGGGGCAAGATAGTATTGCAAGGTAAGTTTAATAACATATGTTATAATTTTGTTGCTGTTAAGTGATAATATAAGTATCCAATCTTTAAAAATTCCATAACTGATACCCATAACTTAGCCCTCTGAGTACAGGTTTTTAGTTTTTTTGTATTAAGAATAGTGTTTTCTTTGTTTTCTTTTTCTTATTAATATATTTGTTATTATTATTTCCAGCTCACCTGGCAGGCAGTATCATGCACAGCGTGAATGTATCACTTATCCAGCCTGACGAATGTGAAAGTAGATTGCAACAGAACTACCCTCACTTGCTGGACAACTACGACCGCGACAGCTGCGCCTGCGGACAGCCCACTAATCCATTGAACAACATCTGCAAGGTAAGGATAAAACACGAAGAAACTGGCAGCATTCCCCCTTTGAATTGCTAGACTAATTCTTTGTCTGTGGTTGTTGCCAGCTCTTTGGTCTCCTGTGATTTCGACTAACAATTTTTTCTATAACCCCACGCAATGGGACAAAATCATATTCTGAGCCTAGACCCCTGTATTTGTATGTTTTAGCCGCTTCACAAGCCGCACCGGCTCTATTGTTGGTCCCATGTAGACATATATTTAATTTAAATGGTATCTTCCGATAGTAAATAATGTCATTAAATTTAATTCATAATTCCTACTTCTCTATTATGTATTTAGTAGTTTAATAGTGTAGCATTTGAACAGTGTAAATATATTTTAATGGTTATTTGCAGGTGGACATCGGCAGCGCCCTCGCGTGCACAACTGGTGATGGTTACTACGTGATGCAGGGTATCTACTCATGGGACTCAGGTGAGGATCCATCACATATACAGCAATAGCAAGAACTACAATTTGCAACTAACTATCGGCTTCATTTGTTATCCCAAACTTCGATAGCAACGATATGCATTTTATAACGCAAATTGTAATTTCCAGGTTGTCAGGTCGGTAATCAATTGGCAGCATTCTACAAATTCGACATTGAATGGTACGAGTGGGCCATCGGACTAACAGAGAGCGTTCGCTACTCCCAGTACGGTATCGGTACAAAGGTCACACAGACTAAGTACACAGGACAAGTGACCTCCGGCACCAAGGGCATCCAGTACAACAACGGATTTAAGGGAACCATCACTAACGGCGTCAAAGGCATCGGACAGGGCACACAAATCGGTGTTTCACAAGGTACAGGACAGACCCAATTCAGTACCAGTCAAACTAAATACGGTACAGACCAAACCCAATTTGGTATCGCTAAGACTCAATTCGACATCGGGCAAATCGGCGTAAATCACAAGGAAGTTAGTGCTGAAGAATTCGCCAAACTCTTCGGGCAGGGCCAATTGACCACCAACTTTAGTAACTTCGGCAAATTTGACCAAGGCAGCACTGGCTTCAATTCGGGAGGGTTGAATCTCGGCACCGAGATAAAGGGACCAATTTCCAACACCTTCAGCGCGACATACTCAGAGAAGAAGTATTACCAATCCGAACCGAAAATAATCACATATACGACCAAACCCGAAATCGTCACCTATACGACGAAACCCGAAATCGTTACCTTTACGACCAAACCCGAAATCTTTACATACACAACTAAACCCAAAATAGTTACATATACAACCAAACCTAAAATTATAACTTACACGACCAAACCTAAAATCATTACTTACACAACCAAACCTAAGATCGTGACTTATACGACCAAACCTCAATTTATCACTTACGAAACATCTGGCAGTGGTACAAACCCGCAATACATCGCTCCAGGTGTCACTTTCAACCCATCATTCTCCCAAGTGGTCGGTGCGCAGCACAAACACAACGCCGAATGCAAATGCTTAGAAAACGGCAAGAAATAAAACGACCAAATTTAATCGCCTTGAAAAATATTGGTAACAAAATGGACTTAACGTGCCATATAAAACAACATCTCATATTTCATAACAATTAAAATATAAATCGACAAAAAACAGTACAAATTTTACTCCAGTTCCTAAAAATGTTACCATATTTTTAATGCTGGTCACACTAATTTCGGAACCTGTGAGGTAAAAACTGAACTTTTTTGTAATTTTTATTTATAAATATTAAAATGTGTAAATAGGTAGGATTTATTTAATTTGTACAATCTGGTTCATACATTATTGGCATTTTTACATGTTTTTTTTTACAGAATGACTTTTTAATAATTAAAACTGCCAGTTTATTTTTTTACCAGTGTAGTACGATATGTATTCTTTGTTATTGAACTTTTTTGTAACCAAAATAAATGGAAATGTTTTTTCTTGATTCAAATGAAATTAGACTTTTGACCATTTTGGTTACAATAGACACCAACATGGTCGACTCTCTAATACGATTGGTCATAGTTTTAAAAGTGTTAATGTAAGTTTTTTATATGCATTATAGTATCGTATATATGACTATCGTATATATGCGTATGATAAATATCAATATGATACATATGTTATAGTCAAACAAGGATATCTGTTCCGGTGACAGGGGCGCTGCTATCGCGTTTAGTTCTGTCACAAAATATATAAAACCTATTTAGGCACAATGTCATAAAATAAAAAAAATAATGCTACAGCACAAAAACAATCTTGTTATACTTCTTGATATTGACAGAGTGACGCTAGTGAGCAGTCATAATTTTGACTTATGCCCACTGTTTCAGATATCCTTGTCGGTCTATAATTCTAATTGTTGTAATTAGGATTAATCGATTGAAATAAAACGACTTTTTATTAGTACTTTGTATTATTTCTTTACCGTCAAACACGTTGGGCAACCAAGTTTATAAAAAAGTTTCGATAATAAGGTTGGATATCCACTGAAAACAAATTCATACAAATAACTTTGTACAATAGAAAAACTGAGTTGCCAGATTTGGCTTTTTTGGAAAGTTTTTTTTTTATTCAGACAAATAGTTTAGAAGATAACAAACACTTAGGGGAACCGAAAAATCCATTTGTCTTCCTAATAGAGAGGGTGGTTAACTTTGGACTTTATTTCCATACCACAGTAAAATGTGAAGTCGGATAGTTATTTTAAAAAAGCGCCATCTATTAGAAATATCTTGAACCTTGAAAAAAAAGTTCTAAATAGGCAGCTAGATGTCTCTATAACAAAATCTGTAAAATTTAATTTTCTATTCCGTTCTTCCGTTCAAAATTACTAACTTTACCAAAATGGCTGACTTTAAAGATTGTAGTGAAATGTGAAATCAATGGAAATATAACAAATATGATGTAATCAATTTTTATTAGCAATTAGCTTTTTATTTTTTCAAGAACTCCTTAGCGAACATATAAAAATCTAAAAATAAAACATAAAAATATTGTTTGACAAATTGACGGTAAAAAAATATGACATTTTCCATTTTATTTTGACTTTAGACTGCTTTAAAATCTTCTTGTCAATATTTAAAACCGATTTTTCATCTAAATATTGACAAGAAGATATACAAAAAAACTCAAATTATTTTTAATTATACATATATTTTTCCTAATTTATGTGACAAAATCAAAATCGTAAGTTGACTACAATTTAAAATGTAAATAAAGTAATGTTCATTAGGTCTAGTCAATTTGGGCAGATCAACAGGATACGTTCAAATCTTTGCTAAAATGACTACTGCATAACAACATTCTGTACTTTCATGAAAGAACGGTCTCTATTCTATCAGGTAAAATTTAATCAATCAAGATGTATCGATTGGTACATAAAACAAACTCATACTAACACCTCGCAGTATCAGGCATAATGTGACTTAGGTATTCTTCCGTCATTTTCTTATAAATCTTAGTTTTATTTCTAAAAAATCTGAATAATATTGAAATATTATTATATAAAAATCATACTCGCTATGCAAACATTTAAAATAAATTGACAATTATTGAAAAATGGCTGGATATCGATGGGTCGAACTACCACAAACACTAGAAACAAGATCCACGATAAGGCGTAGCTCTATTCATCGCAAATCACGCAGCTCTAATCGACGCAGTCCTGAACGACGTAATACTAGACAGCGCAGCAGTGAATTTCGCAAACTTAATCAACACAGCCCTGAACAGATCTATTCTAGTCAGCGTAGCATTGAACAGAACAATCCTAGACGACGCAGTTCTATTCGGCGTAGCTCTGACCAGCGCAGCCCTGATCGTAGTCGTAGACGGCGTAGATCTAGCCGGCGCAAATCTAAGCAACTGGGCCCTGGCCAGCGTAGACTTGATCAGAGTAACCACAAACGGCGCAGCCGTAATCTGGAGAGTCCTGTTCTATTTGGCTGTAGACGCAGCTCAAGTCGACGTAGTGATCAAATCCCAGGCCGACTCAGCCCTGATCAGAACAGCACAGGTAGACGCAGCCCTGAACGGCGCAGCTCAGCTCGACGTATCTCCAGTCAGCGCATCCCTGGTCAAAACAGCCCTGGTCGGTACAGTCCTAGTCGGCGCATCTCTGGTTCTGACAGGTCAGTAGCTAATTATAGTTTGACTTTAAGGAGAATTTTGACTTGTGATGTTGCATTCGATTCGTATTCATTATCTGGAGAAGTTTAGGTTAAAGAGCTCTAACACTAGGTTCTTGTTTATTTTTTAATAAGTGTTACTTTAAATAGGTAATTTTTTTAAGGTTCCACACGGCATTCGACGATATGCGTGCTAACATGCAAATGTTCCTTGACCGAATGGACTTTTGCAATTGCCCGACTGGCTCTAAAGATAAATTAGCAAAGGTGGAGAAAGGTCTACGGGTGTGGGTGAGTTACCAAATATTTCTCTTCCTCTGCATTCTAATGCCTAAATATCGATTCAAGAAATAACCTTTAAAACTTCACTCCCTTTATCTTTGTATTTTCAAACAAGGTTATTAAATGGAAATAAACGTACAAACACACAAAGTAAACGGTCTAGATTAGATTAATATCTCAATGGTATTGTTTTGATGTCGTGCTTGTTTGTTTTGATGATCAGTTTTGTTACGTCTGTACGCGTTTATCTATTTACATTATTCTTATACAATTATACTTATTAGTTGCCTTTATTGTTATTATTTAGTCATACTATAGATTATAGTACTTTTAGGAACGTAACCATCTTTTATATATATAATTCTTCTGTGAGTGTGTATGTCACTGAACTTCTCTCTTGATGAAATTTTTTGTGTGTGTTCAAGGGGATCTGGGAATGGTTTAGATTCACAATGTTGTCCGCTGGACAATGTTTTTTTTAATTTACTTTTTAATTTATTAGTAGTTGTTGATTTTGGAATGTTTTACCTTGGATCCGACAGACAGCGCTACCATCGCAGTGTCAAATTTTAAATAATATTCGAATTTTCAAATTAAAGACGTGTAGACAGGACAACGTCTGTCGCGTCCGCTAGTAGATATATAGAACATAACTATGGATTGCGTGTTAAAGTTTGACGTTTTGACGTCTCATCGTTACCCGATTTTCATTTCATTTTGTTTTGTAAATTGCAACACTCAAAAAAAGGTGCCTAAAAAAGGGCTCTTGAAGCCTTTTTAGACTCATCTTTATACTCCGGATTAGGTATCTATAGGTTATTAATCTATGAATTTAGCGTTACAAATAATCTTCTTATATAAAACATTCTTGTGACACAATATTAGTTACCATACTCCTTCGAAACGGCTTGACTTATAAGCATGTTCAGTAAATGAAAATCGGTTATCTTTTTTTATCCCGGGCGTTCGGAGTCGCGGGCGACAGCTAGTACTATAAATAACTATCGGTTTAGTTGACACTAAAAACTTTTTCACAAACAATAAACGAAATCAACCACTATTATCTGTGCAGGTAACAATAAGCAAGATAGAAGTTTTTCTATCACAACTATTTAATCTTCACTACAATGATGTTATGTAAAAAATTGTAAATAGACGTATTGTTGTACATTTTTAATGTTTTTTTCTCACTTGATTTTAATAACTTTTTTATTAACTTTTTATATGGATCCGGGTATTTTGTTAGACTATCCTTGAACACAAATAAATAATTTGCAATAATGAATGTTTACATTGAAAAAAACTGTAGGTAAAATCTAACCATAGATAATAATTCACAGATCATAGATGGAGAGTTTCATTCATATTTGACATCTAATCGAGAGTAGTTTTTCGAAATGTCATGTTTTGAATATGACAACACTGAGAGAATTTACAAACACAAGGCCCCCGGATGCCTTTTTTATCCTCACTTTTGTACTCCGGATTATGTATCTACAGAATACCAATGATCCTAATGTTATATGTTATAACGTAAGGAGAAATCAGAACTTACCGTCGAAATCAATACTCGATTTCGAACCATTTTAATTGGTCACTTAGTGCAGATTTCTCTTACTTAATCTATTTAAAGATGCGGCTTAAACAACACTGATTGCGTAGTTTGAGAACTTAAGAATAAAAAGTGGTAATTTCTTTGACGTGCTATAGTTAATGTCTGTTATGTATTTTATTATAGACTCAAAATTATTGCGCAAATCACGTTTGTACTAGACGTACCATGTTTTGTAAACACGCTTTACTATGTTTAAAGTACGGCTTCCGACAACCTTGGCTAGAAAAATCAGTGATTTTTAGACAATTATTTTTGCATGGTATAAATTATGACATTAATGAATGAATTTGAATACAAAATGCAGGTAACAATATTTATTTTATCAACTTTGTTTACTAGCACAATGATTATTATCAATTACCATCAAAACATGTTTTGAATGTGAAGAATATATCGCCGGAAATAATAATCATTATTCACATTCGTATGTATACACTAAATAATAATGATTCATATTGTTTACTGTTTTTTTGTGAAAGAAAATGTGACTGCTTTGAAATGTTGCATCCAATAAAATACTTCGATTGTTGAAATGCGTCTCTATACATTAGTAGTATAATATGTGTGAATCATTTTATCCGACAAGCACCGACAAGGGTTGCTTTTCGCTTTTCGTCAATTTCCGCACGCTTCGAGCAAAAAGGAATCATTCCTTCTCGCTCGCGCTTATGACGATGTGATAATGTCGCCCTATCGAATTTCTATACAACAGACATCTCGCTCGCTCGCCAACTCGCCAGTTTATATTTTTAGCCTACGCAGTGCAGACGTTCAGTGTATGTTAAAAACTCAGTGTATATCGCAATTGTCTTAATAACTTAAAATATTTGTTTCTTTGACTGTAAAGAAAAGAATTATTGTGCCATGGCCAAGGTAATTTGATTTTTCACTCACAGTAGCCGTAACATTTTTATAATCAAAGAAAATGTTTTTTTTTTCTCTCGCCATAACATCATACCACTATGACGTATCTTGAAGATAACTATATTTTATATTCCGTTATGTTATAATGAGCAAAGATTCAATTAATTTTCTTTAAATAATATAATAAAGACTTATCGTTTTCATTGTTCCATACGTATTTTCTTTGTTTTCTTTTTCTTCCTTCTATTTCATTTTGGAAAACAACATTCATTTCAAATGAAAGCTTTTTTAATTCAATTTATCAATGGGATAAAGGATTTATTATGTTAATTTTGATTTCTAATTAAAAATTTGCTTGAACTTGTTTATAAGCTATATCCTTATAAGTATTTGTATTTTCAACACCAAATGAACATAATATTAAATTTTACCTAATACTATAATATTATTCTTACTTAAAGTTAATAAACTATTGAAGCGTTTTATATAACTTTATTATTATTTTAAACGATAATTTAAATGATACAAAGAAAAACAAATCGGGCAACACTGAAATGTCAATGTCAAAGTAAAATCAATATTTCGACATAAAATAACCTGACATTTTTGAAAGTGATAATTGGTGATTTTCCTAAATTTTAATGTCTTCAACAATTAAGAAGATATTAATGGAAGCTGGGAATTATTGCAATCGATTAATTCTGTCCAGTAGAAGCCGCTATTGGGTATTTTTCCTTTATATTTATTAATAACTTCATTTTTAATATATGTTCAAGTTTCTTAGTGATAAGACATTTTAGAATCTACATACAAATATTACACCACCTACAAAATGTTAAATAATACCAGATATAGTACTTATTATAATAATTATCAAGTCACCTTTTAAAGTGTGAATTATAATTAATAAATTATTTCAACAATCTTCCAATTTCTTAACCTTGTATGTCTTGATATCGTAAACAACACTATGTTCATCTGTAGTTTTTTATTTAATGGAAACCAGGAAAACGGCACAAATTATTATATTTAAATACCTTTCATGCTGTATATACATTTTTTTTATTACTACAAGTCTATGTCTACAATACATTTCCTATCATATTGGATTGACTATGAGTAGACACTTTGCTATTTTAGCAAAATCTCATGGCTGCTTACTTGTTTTTTTTTACTATAAAATAATTGCTTATGCATGCATTTTTCGCTACATCTTCTTCTTCTTCTTCGTGTACGTAATTACTGAAGGTCGTGCTTGTCTTGATATGCTATTACGGCTGTGTCGACCAGCTGCTATCTATGCTAGCTATCTCTTATCTTCTTCTTCTTCATATTCTTCATTACTGAAGGTCGTGCTTGTCCTGGTACGCTTCAACGGCCGTGTAGACCAGCTGCAGCTGCAGCTTTCGCTACATATCATACTAATATTATAAATGTGAATGTATGGATGGATGTTTGTTTGAAGGTATCTCGAGAATAGCTGTATGGATCTTGCTGAAATTTTGCTTAGATGTAGAACATAGCCTGAAAGAACATGTAGGCTACTAATTAAGTTTTGTAAGGCAAACGGAGTTGCATGCAATATCTAGTTGATTTATATACTCGGTAGTACTTTGATCTGTGTTTCAAATGTATATATTATGTTATCATAATTATGTAATCAGTATGGTACATTATAATGTTAATGAGCTTGATAATTATGTTTATATTTCTTTTATAAAACAATTACTTGATTGTATATTGTTTTCTTTATATTGAAAACACATTAATTACCAACAATTTTCGACCATGGAAAATGAAAAACTAACTAGTAATAAATATGCTTATCACACTAGAGATAAGCCCCTAGAGTCGCAACCGTCACCATCAACCGATCATTTGTCAAACAGATCGATAATCCGTCCACCTCTCTGTTCTTTACTATTTAATCTTTTAATCTTCCTTTTTCCGTTTTCAATTACCTTCAACCTTGACGTTGGCGAAATCATCGAAATTAAACGATGGGGTCCATTAGTAACTAAAAGAAGAAGATAAGCCCCTATTTCAATATTGTCCCTTATTTTTTAAATTTAGAATTTTAATTACTAAAAAAGGATATTTATTGCTTATACATGGGTGTATTTACCTACCAATGTATCATAAACAGCTCACTATATGCCCCCACTGAAAGGCTCGGAACCTACCCTAATAATGGTAACTAGACCTCAACCATATTGGTCCAATGTGGGTTAGTTGACTTCACACATATCTTTAAATTACTTGATAGATATGTGTAGCATCATGATGTTTTCCTTCACTGTAAGAATGTCAGAAAAATGTACATATGTAAATCGACAATCTAAATATATATTGGTTACATGGTGTTGTACCCAAGACCTGCAGATTACAAGTCAAGTGCTTAACACTTTAGCCAGACGATCCTTCCAATGTGACTTTGAATATTCTTTGATAGTTTATACCAATTGTATGTTATAAAAAGTAGGTAAAAACACAAGTTAGTACCGTTCATATCAATTAAGATCGTTTTACCTCAATCATGAATAATAAACATTAATAAAATGCAATGACAAGTCTCATAAAAGCAACAATCAGAGACACCATTAATTAAAAACACACACAAATCATTTAAATTGAACTGTAACATAATATTTCTAGAACATACAATTGGTTAAAAAAATTCATCATCATCTCACTTTACGTCCCCACTGAGGGGCAACCACACTGGTCAAGTGCGGGTTGGTTGACTTCACATATATCTTTGAATTACTTCTCAGATATGTATAGGTTGTATCACGATGTTTTCCTCTACCTTAAGAACGTCGGATAAATGTACATATGTAAATCGGAAATCGAAAAATACATTGGTACATGTGGGATTCGAATCCAGGACCTGCAGATTGCAAGTCTTGACCCCTGAGTCACCGACGCTTAAAGAAAAAATTACACGTACATTTTAGTTTATTATGTGGTGTTGTCATATGTACCAAGAGGGAATGCTATGTTTTAGTATGACTGATATATATGAGTGGTCTTTCAGTGGAAGCCCACATTTATGTAATAGTCAATATTATTATAGAAGTATTAAATCTTATATTATTAATGCAAATGTTTTGATGTATCTTTGTTAGAAGATATTTCCGGAACAGCTCAATGGTTTTTGATGAAATTTGGCATAGATGTATTACATACTCTGGAAGAACACATAGGCGACTAACCGCAAACAATACTTTATTTAATAACTAGCTGTCGCCCGCGACTCCGTTCGCGCGGAATTAAAAATAAACATAATTAGTAGTCTATGTGTTCTTCCAGTTGTTCTATATGAATGCCAAATTTCATCAAGATTCGGCTAGATGTTCTGGAGATACCTTCAACTACAAACATCCATCCAAACATTTGCATTTATAATATTAATAAGATTCTTTGAATTGGTAATACAGTTATGAATACATTATCTACGTTAATCATTTCTCTTGAATTACCAATTGTGTTAGATATTGATTGATAATACTTGGATTAGTTGGTTGAAGGCTGCGTTGATAACAATTTTTGTTTGTTTGTAAATTGACTAAAGTTATATAAAATCTAGGCAATTGAAAAGCCCACTGATAAATACTTGATAACTTAAATAACTTAGCGTCATTTATCTGAAGCAATTACTTGACTTTTGATAAATGTAATGTCTTGCTAAGATAAGTTAGTAAACACTTAATTTATTGAGTTTAATTGTTAGTTACAAGGTTTTTTTTTTGCTAACGCGGGGAATGCGTTTATGCACTTCGCCGTCCGTGCTGTGGGTAGCAGGGACGGTTTCGTGTGGGACTCCCGGCCTGGGATCAAGGCCGGACTACCCACTAAACTTCGCGGTGTTCTTCGCCCGACCGAACCGTGACATCTACGTTAGTTTATCCACGGCACGGCTAGGGGTTCTAAGTTACAATTTTTGTTTTTTTTTTAAATTAATATTTGAGGCACAATATTAACTATTATTTTAATCCAAGGATAGACATGATCTTACTGTATAATTGCTGTTTGCTTAAGTTTAAAAAAAATACGTAGAAGTTTTAAGAATATTTTTTCCTTGTACTTGACATTGTTCTTTTTTACTTATATGTCACCCGAGACTGGATCCGTGCGGTATAAAAAAAACTTTGTAGTCTATGTGTTCTTCCAGACCAACTTTCTATATGTATGACACATTTCATCCAGATCTATTCAGCTGTTTTGGAGATACGTTCTAACAAACATCCATTTATACATGTATTTATAATATTAACACGTTAGCTGCCATGTCGGACTATATGTCCGACAAGCTAATATTTCAATCAGGCCGTGTCACACTGTGTCCGACAAGCTAATATTTCAATCAGGCCGTGTCGGACTATGTGTCCGACAAGCCATACTTCCATTCATATGTAAATAATAAATATATTAGCGATGTAAATAAGGTATTAGTATATTTTTAAGTGTTTTCAAATGGTTTTGGGCAAAATTCAATTTTTTTTTCGTTTTTCGAAAAATCATTCTGGCAGTTAACGTGTTAAAGTTTTATTTAGCCTTGAATCGTTCACACGTTTATATATTTATCTCTATGTATATTGTTCATAATCCTCTATTCAACAAGTACTGATAACTTATCGTACATAAAACAAATAAAATATCTTAATAATCTCATTTATACTGTATCAGCTTTAGTGGTAAAAAAATAAAAGTAAATTTCCACTGACGTAATATATGGTAGGCATAAATTGTGGTTGAGCCTAAATGATCGTCATTTTAGAGCGTTGGTGGCTCAGGGGTCAAGCACTTGACTTGCAATCTGCACGTCCTGAGTTCGAATCCCGCCATGTACCAATGGGCTTTCGATTTACATTTGTACATTTATCCGACGTTCTTACGGTGAAGGAAAACATAAACGTGATGCTGCACATATCTGAAAAGAAATTCAATGATATGTGTGAAGTCAACAACCCGTACTGGGTCAGCGTGGTTGACTATGGCCTAGTCACCCGTGAGTTTGGGTAGGCTCCGAGCCCCACAGTGGGGACGTAAGATTAACAACAATATACTCGTAGCATAGTTGGAGAAAAGATTCAATTTGACAATATGGCAATCTTGGAAATATAAACAATTTTCCTGAGACAAATCGCAAATATGCGAAGTAAACGCGCGTGAACAAAGATATTTATTGCATTGCTTTATTCCGATACTCGTTATTTATTATGTTTATAAACGTTATAATAATAATATAAATATTTCTATTATATTTAAGAATTGTCATATCTTTAAAAAGTTCATCCTTCCACTCAAGATTGTTTATTTTTACCTTGAGACAGGTACTTCCTTTTAACCTTCACATTGTAAAACAACCATGGATTCAATGTCAAAATTTTATGCGTCTTAACACTTCATAAAATTAAGATAGATTTAAAACTACATATCTTATCTTAATAGTATTATAAATGCGAATTTATAGATGGATGTTTGTTTAAAGGTATCTCCAGAACGGCTGTATTTCGATGAAATTTGGCATAGATGTAGAACATAGTCTGGAAGAACACATAGGCTACTTATTAAGTTTCTTTTTTAATACCTCACAAACGAATTCGTGGATGATAGCTAGTCTGTTTTCATCATCATCATCAGCTCACTATAAGTCCCCGCCGAGGGGCTCGGAGTCTGTTATATATGTTAGAATTAATTAAATTAATTGTAGGTAACTAATGCCTACAAGTAATTAATTAATCGTAATTATAGTTATCGTAACTTAATTACAAATGTTTATTTTGCCCGTATTACATATCTTTTAACAGTTAAGATCAGTTGGATTGCCCTTATAAAAATACTATCTGATAATAAAATCTTATCTGGCAATAACCTGGCCTTGTCAGATTATTGAAATGTTGCCAGTAGGCACGGCAACAATTGATTAATCGTACCTTAGCATTTGTTTTGGTATGATAACACTAAGCTCTACATCGGCCTAAATGTATGATAAATTGTAACGTAGTTATAAACATTGTTGTGAAGTATTTATGACGTAGAGAATGAGTTAAATCAATTTCCAATAGGCGACGACTCTGACTAGTACGAAGTCGAGTGGCATATTGCTTAGTGGAAATGACGTTTAATCATGAATGTAGAGAAGATTGTTTTGTTTAGATCTAAAAGATGGATTGAGTTAAGGTTATATAAGAAGGGGAACGTCGGTGGTTCATGTTTAAAGATTTGACTTATAATCAGTAGGTCTTAGGATCGAATCCCGCTATGTACTAATGTGTTTTTCGATTCGATTTACATATGTACAGTTATTAGATGTTCTTACGGCCAAGGAAATGATGATGTAACCTGAACATGTCAGCGAAGAAATTCAAAGATATGTGTGAAGTTAACCCGTAGTCAGACAGCGTTAACTGTGGCCTATTCACTCCTAACTTAGGGTTGGCCCTGTGCCCGTCAGTGGGGGCGTATAGCGAGCTGATGATGTAAGAAAAAGAATGAAATAGTGACTATTGAGATAATAGAAAGGGATGCAAGATCTACGCTGGAATTTTTTCCAGCCTTATCACTCTTATCCATCTCTGTTTATAATTTTTAAAGGTAAAAAAACTAGGCTACGTTACTTTATAAATATAGCGCGTCCCTGACCAAGTTATTTTAAATCAATATGTACTAAAGGCTCGCAACGAAATTCAATGTTCAAAAGATCAGGTCATGTTTTATGGTAATATTGCGAATTAATTATACTAAAGAAGATAAAGAATACATTTGAAGGTTATTTTATAGTTAACTCTAATACTTAATAGGCTAAAGCCATATAATTCAGGTAATAGAATAGGTTTACTTTAAAGAAAAGTAGGTATTTAAGTATATCAGTGGGGCGTCGCGGTGGTAAGTTAACACGATCACGTGGCGTCCCACATTATGGCTATGATGGTATGGGTTTAGTGGGTATGCTCCCATTCGGGGAGAGAATCCCTCACAACTACCGTGCCTTCCCCGAGGCACGGAGTATGCCTAAAGCATTCCCCTATGAAAAAAAATTTATTTAAGTATATAATTACATAGGCGACATTATTGTAACTTTCACACAACTCTACATAACTATACATCATATAATGGATGATGTAAGGCTTTCTACTAGTTCTTGTTCAAATATTTAAAATATACTAGTAGTATTTTCCGACTCCGTCCGCGCGGTATTAAATAAAAACTTAACCTATGTGTGCTTCCAGAATATGCTCTACATCTATACCAAATTTCATTGAGATCCGTTGACATACCTTCTAACATTCATCTATCAATCCACTTATCTTAAAATTCGCTTTTATTTCAGTGGATCAGATTTAGCCATGGATAATGTACTGTTACTTCCAAAACTTTCGCATTTATAATGTCATTAAGATGTACAAAGTTTATATTTTTTGTTACAGAAACTGCAAATGTGCGGCACGGAGGAGGAGATGCGTGAAGTGGCGGGCAGGATCTGCAGAAACTATTTGCACGGCGCCTGGAAGAGTGTCAAACCTACGGAACTGATCTTCAGGCGTATCAGGTCAGTTGGAACACCATGAATGTCTATGTTACTTCGGCATAATGTAGCATCATGATAGTGAAAGAATTTTTGAAATTGGTTTGGTAGTTTTTGAGTTTATTAGTTCCTCTTTATAGTATAGTGTAGTTTAATTCGCTTGTTCAAGTTCCATTATGTTTTATATTGACGCTAAGAATAACCAGTTAAAACAAACGAAAAAGAAGACTATATGATTAAGTTTTTTAATTATCAGTTATCATTCTCAGTTAAAAAATCAAATAACTACTAATAAGGGAATCGACCTTTACACGCAATTACATTCCCTTTGAGCAAGATCGTGCTACAAGCAAACAGCAAATGAAAGGCAGTATACAACAGCAACGTATTTCCACACAAAGTGGATAAACTAGTTGCCAAAGCATAATAAACATGAGTGCGTCGTGTCACAAAATAAACACCACATACGAGTATAATAAGATTCAAACTTTATGCTGGCTTAGATATTCAGCAGATGTCTACACAGGCCCAGCGTTGTGCGCCTGAGAAATTGCGAGCTGTGATTAGGTTTGGATACCACTATACACTATGTTTCATTTGTACCGCATTCGTTGGGATAAAACAGACATTTTCTTTGCCTTTGAATTTCTACACGAAGCGTTTCTGTCAGCAGTATTACGTAACATTTTATTGAACGAAACTTTATATACAGAGGCTGTATTTATAAAAACCACACGTACCAAGCTTTATTCGTACCATGATAAAATATAATTTAAAAATACTTAGCACGCACTTTTTACACGAGCAATGAAGCCAAGTAATTTTATATTAATTAGACTTAAATTGTTTAACGGTCTAGACTTAATAGCTATGACGTCATTGAACGCAGACATGTTATTTCGCATGACTTACTAAAAATGCACCTAATTTTGCTATGTTAGTAATATATTTTAGGAAGACCAAAGAAAGTATGGAATGTGTGAAAGAGGATATGCGTAGGAAGTGGTAAGATTCAGATATGACGGCTGATAGAAATGTATGGAGTAGTACATACTGTGCCGACCCTCGATAGGGATAAGGGCAGATTGATGATGTTAGTAATATCTTTTGCACGTAGCTTCGTCCTTGCAGTTTAAAAAAAAACTTAATGGCTTATGTGTTCTTACAGACTATGTTTTACATCTATGCCAAATTTCAGCGAGATACCTACTAACAAACATCCATCTAAACATCGAATTTATAATATTGCTAAGATTAGTCCATAGATCCAATAACTCCTAGTTATTTTACTGTTAATCATATCTGTCTTCTTCTCAGTCTAGTCTAAGCTAAGCTAAGCCAATATTTTATTTAACTTTTATTTCTTTATCTCATTAATTATTTTATTTTATTTCCATTTTCACTGAACCGGTTTTATCTGGTTCTTAGGCCGCTGACATTTGTACTGTACTATCGTAACAGCGATAAGTGTGCTAGCATCGAACAAATACATACATACATATTTTTATCTACATATTAGCTATCGCCCGCGACTCCGTCTGCGTGTTTGTCTAAAAAAAAAAAATAGGGGTGGACTACCCTTAACATTTCGGGGGATGAAAAATATATGTTGGCCGATTCTCAGACCTACTCAATATGCTCACAAAACTTCATGAGAATCGGTCAAGCCGTTTCGCAGGAGTATGGGAACGAAAATTGTGACACGAAAATTAAGATATTAATAAATATAAGATATTAGTAATTTTACTTTCCTACATGTTGTTTCAATCCCGATACCTTTAAAGTTCAAATATAAAGTGCATGTTTAACTCATTCTCTCATTGTACAACTCATTCGCTTATATTATAAATGCGAATGTTAAGATGGATGTTTGTAGGATATGTCCAGAACGTGTTATAACGGGCTCAACGTTTCTCGATGAAATTTGGCACTTGTCATAATATTATTTCAAATTAATCTCATGGTTTTTACAAAACAATTGTTAAAGTTAAACATATTTGGTGCCACGAACGGAATTTGACGTTACCATGTTTACATAATTTAAAGTAGATATTGTCTGTGTCGCATTAAATGTATAAAAAACTACGTAGTTAAGTTTACAATGGAAAAAACGTAAACATCGACTTGACCTTGAATGCTGGCTGCTTCCTTCTGTGGGTGAACTTTTTAAAAGCGATTTAATTTATTCGTTAAATGACGTCACGTCGACGAAACTACGAGTCAAACGAGTTATTGCTGTGAGTTTTCACTGCCACAAATGTATAAAAACATGTTATTTTTTTTATGAGACGCAAAAAATATCTCCGGTTAGGAATTCAGGCATTTATAATAAAACTAGCTGTCGTCCGCAACTACGTTCGCATGGATTTTAAAGAAAACGTAGCCTATGTGTCCTTCCAGACTAGACTACATTCGGCAAAGATTTCAGCGAGATCTATGCAGCTATTCTGGAGATACCTCGTAAACATTCTTCCATCCAAACATTTGCATTTATATATTAGTAAGATTTTAATTGGTTTGTTATATATTTAATTTTTAAGTTATATTTAACCTAAAATTTACATTCTTAAGAAGTTTTAAATTGAGGTGTCATTAAAATGTGCACGCTTAACCTCGTTCAGGGTCGAATGTAAAGACCAACTCACGCCTTACTGAGTGCACTTTGTTGCACTGAATCACGCTTCAAATATTCAAGAATTTATATTCGGTTTAAAAATAATCGTATTACCTAAACTTCATATACTAAAAAAAATTAAAAAAGATATACTTACTTCTTCATCATCATCTGCTCACTATGCGTCCCCACCGAGGGGCTCGGAGCCTACCCTAAGTTAAGGGTGATTAGGCCATAGTCAACCACGCTTGTCAAGTGCTGGTTGGTTGACTTCACGCATATCTTTCAATTTCTTCTCAGATCACGATGTTTTCCTTCACCGTAAGAACGTCGGATAAATGTACATATGTAAATCGGAAATCGAAAAACACATTGGTACATGACGGGATTTGAACCCAGGACCTGCAGATTGCAAGTCGAGTGCTTGACCCCTGGGCCACCGACGCTCTTACTTACTTCTTACTGATATTATAAATGCGAATGCTTAGATGGATGTTTGAATGTATCTCTAGAACGGATGAACGGAACTCGATTAAATTTGTCATACATATAGAATATAGTCTGGAAGAACACAGGCTACTATTTTTTTTTCTACGCAGACTGTGTCAGGCGACAGCTATGTTGGATAAAGACTAGTGATTAATGTTACAAATTGAATTATATTTTTACATTTTTAATACTTTAAGTAGTGTAACAAAAAATGGGTAAACAGTTCCGGAATACGTATTGCGTGAAACAACAATGAAAAATGCCTGACAACTACAAAAACTGAACTTGTTATAACTTTTTATAACGCATTTATTTTTGTGATTGAATGTTGATACATTTAAAAAAAATAGTTGTTTGTGCAAAAAATTGAAATAAAAATATATTTTTGTGTTGATGTTACGTTTGTGGAAATTCACGGTTTTTGCATATAGGTACTATATTAAAGTGAGTCAAAGAGAGTGAAAGCGACAACAATATCTATCTATCTATATATATATGTAAATTGCAGTTTGTAATTATTTAAAAAAACATATTTTGCTAACATATATTTGCGTTGCTTATAATGAATATTTTTTTTAATTATTGTCTATTCGCAAATCAGAAATTTGTCTCGAGGAATCTGCAAAAATGCTGGACCGATTTTGTCGACTTTCACTGGAAGCTAGAGCTGATGTTTCCAGGAATATTACAAGATCAGTTCTATAATTCTAAAAATTAAAAAACGTTTCTATCGACATATTTTCTGAGGGCTTAGACAAATTGCATTCGCTTCGAAGCGATTCCATAGCGAATTTCAAAATTGTATGAAACTGACGCGCGATTACGTGACTTATCCAAAGTTAATACAATCCTATACATTTTTGAAGTTTGTTATGGAATCGCCTCGAAACGAATGCAATTTGTCTAACCCCGCTGCTATATAAAACAGGTTTATATGACTTTGTAACTTTTACCTTGTAAAATAAAAACGTGGCGTACAAGGAAAATGTGTTTACCTCGAACAAATTGTCTAAATGTCTTCACTATATACAATACTGTAGATATTAATGAATACTGTATTTGGAAATAATGCTGCGATACTTTGAATGTGGGACATTGGAAAACTACCGGTGATAAGATAATCGTATATTGGACGTATCATATTGTACAAACAATTGAATGAATGATAAACGAATTAATTGTATGTTTTTGTGTTTTTTTTTTGGTATCATAAGGTGGCAAACGACCGAGCGAACACATGAAATCGCTGAAATAGCGAAGTGACCGTTGCCCATAGACATACGCAATTGCATATGCATTGCCTACCTTTAATCGACGGAGGAGAGGATGCACAGAAAGAAAATATTTCAATGCATCCTCTCATCCGGAAAGTCCACTTTCACTTCCCATCCTTTCCTTATGAGAAAAAGGGTGGGAAGGGAAAGAGGATTTAATTAGGCTTCCGGGACGCACACTCATCAGACGAAACGCGGAATTGCTTCCACTTCACGCCTGTCTTCTGTGTGGTCGTGGTATTTCACCGGGCGAGCCGGGCCAATTCGTGCGAAGATGTTAAAGCGGGCACTATTACTGTTTATTGGGTAATACACATACCTTTTTCAAAGATTGAAGCAGTCCTTTACTTAGCGTAGTGGACTATTTAAAGACTAGTGTTGCCCGTAAATCCATCCGCGCGGAAAAAAAAAACTTAATAGCCTGTGTTCTTTTAAACTATGTTCTATACGTATGCTACATTTGAGTAAAATCCGTTGAGCCGTTCCGTTTATATCTTCTAACAAACCACCAAACATTAATCTGAACATTCGCATTTATAATATTAGTAAGATGAAAAGCAAAAAAGTTTAATAAAATACATAATTTGTGTTACTTATAGATTGTATTATTGTGAACATTTAAATTGTGTTTCCTGTTAGCAAAATTATGTTTTTATATTGCAAATAAACATCGATAATTATAAGTTTTTTCCACTAAGTAACTAGTCACGAAAGACAGCTCCTGTCGGCTATGTGTAACATTTTGTCCGAAGGTGATTTCTGCTTAGTGGAAAAAGGGTTAAATACACGAAATTGTTTTCTTTAACCAATATTTATTTGTCAACAGCGGAGGTCTATCAAACTTCCTGTACTACGTTGCATTACCCGATGACGCCACCAAGCTCGGCGGTTACCTACGCCGTGAGAACTCCCCGGATACGGAGCCAGAGGCAGCCGGTATAAAGTTCCCGGGCAAGTCCATGGGAAGGTTGGGTTCTTTCTCCATTGAGGAACCCACAAAGGTTTGTACAATCCGGGATATTTATTTCCTATTATTGCAATTAGGTCAAATTCTCGTGTCACAATGGTATACTCCGCCGAAGCGGCTTGACCGATTTTTTATTTTTACATGCATATTCATTAGCTCTGAGAATCGACTATCTATTTTTCAATTCCGTGCAGACGGAGTCGCGGGCAATAGTTAGTAATAACATACATATTTTGTGCTATATATGTTAAAATCAAAAGAACATAAAATCACCATGGATCGGATGGAAATAACAGTCAGGATCAGCTAGAGTCACAGGGACCGAGATATTTTACTAGCCTATAGAGCGGGGTTCCCAAACTTATTTTGTCTACTGCCCACTTGGAGAATAAATATATTTTTAGCGCCCTCATATTAGAGTTTAAGCAATATTTTAATTCATATTAGTTGATGTTCACAAGTTGTTGTTGAGAGTCGAGAGCTCATGCAGTCGTTGTCTAAGAGGCCTCCTAGCTAAATAAAATTACAAATCACCCCCCAGGCCTCTACACAACGCCCCCATTTTCTTTCTGGGTCTCTTACCGCCCCCCCTTCAGACCTGCAGGGCCCACAAGCGGGAGTTATCGCCCACTTTGGGAAAGACTGCTATAGAGGTTTCTAACCAGAGTTTCTCGCTTATAGGTGGGGAGACAATGACACTCGCAGGTTTCTCGCTTACCCAGATTCGACTAAGTAGTGTTCTATAATTATTGCTTGCTTGTTGTACTATTCTACTCTGTATTAAGAATATGGAAAGAGGATAATATATTTTAATGTACTCTATCTTGATCAAGACTATAGTATTTATTAAAAAAAAAACAATTACTTTTTTCAATACAAAGTAACTCCTTGTTCAATCTAACAAAGATAACATACACGACGCAATCCATACAAAGTCACGTATTTATTATAAACACGTGCACATGTGTGTATGGTGTCATGCAAACGTCAGCAATATGGTACTAGACATATCTTAATGTAATTAATATCGCAAATATATTTTGACTAGCAGAAGCATGCGACTCCGTCCGGGAGGAGTTAAAAAAATACTTAATAAGTAGCCTATGTGTTCTACTAGACCAGTGGTTCCCAAACTTATTTTTTGTATTGCCCACTTTGAGAATAAATATTTTTTCACAAGTCGTTGTTAAGAGTTGAGAGCTCATGCATTCGTTGTCTAAGAGGTCTCATAGCTAAATAAAATTACAAATCACCCCCCCGGCCTTTACACAACGCCCCCATTTTCTTTCTGGGTCTCTTACCCCCCTTGAGAAAACTGTTCTTGACTATGTTCTATATGTATGCCAAATTTAATCGAGAGTTCAGCCGTTCCGGAGAGAAAGGTTTGTATCTTCATACAAACGTCCATCCATCACTCCAAACTATCGCATGTAAATTAGTAAGAGGACTGTAATCGTATCTGATTTTTTAAAATTCTAACTTGTTATACATTGCGCGTTTTGTTTCAGGTTCTATTAAGAATTTACGGTCAAGTGCACGGCGAGCGAGCAATCGACGCTATAGTAACTGAATCTGTCATATTCACGTTGCTGTCGGAAAGACGATTGGGTCCCAAATTGCATGGCGTCTTCTCGGGCGGCAGAATAGAAGAATATATACCGGTAAATATGAAAATAATGCCCGGTTTACATTATACCAGTACAGTAAACCAGTAGCGATGATTTTGTGCGCTACTGTCTTACTGTACTTGCATAATATAAACTAGCTCTTAGGACATTTGTAATAAAGAATGTAACACAACGCCCTCTTTCGCAAGAACATTTACTAAAGGGTTTGAAGTAAACTTTCGATAGATGGCGCTGTAATTAACTGTCAAAATTTTATGATATTTGTTAGTGTTTGGTTCAGTCTAGTATAAATTAATTTAAACTTGTATAATTTCCAGGCGCGTCCTCTTTTAACAAGGGAGTTAGCGGAGCCGGCGTTATCGATGAAGATAGCTGAGAAGATGGCAGCCATACATTCAATGGATGTGCCGCTGTCCAAAGAGCCCAACTGGTTGTGGAAGACGATGGCCAAATGGCTGAGGACGGTCAGAAGCGAGCGGCTCACTAAATACGCTATCGGAAAGGTTGGTAACAAACCTGCTTCCAATCCAGTCCCCTTAACAGATAAATTATACTCAAAAACTCAAAAATACTAAAATATTTCTGATATGACGATAATTTTCAGAAAATAATTAATATAATATATAACGGCCCCAAATATAGAATTTTGTGTACTTAAGCTGAAGGGCCCTGGATCCGTAATTATATTTAAAAAAAAAACAATTTCTTGTAACAAACCATGATTATTGTCTTTTTGTATCAGAATGAAGAAGAAGAAGAGATAATAAAACGTTTGAAGACAGTGGACTTTGAAAACGAGATTGAGTGGCTCAAGAAATTCATCGCCTCCATCGAATCTCCTGTTGTCTTCTGCCATAACGACCTGCAAGAAGGTGAGAAGAGACTAATTGAATATTGTAACTGAATCTCTTCGTTTATCTCTTTTTTACTCTCTATCCCCCCTCTTTTTTCTCTACTTTCCCTCCCTTCTTCCCTATGTCCTCTCTCTCTCTCTCACTCTTTCTCCCAAACTCACTGCCACACTTTGTTAAATAATCACTAATCCAAGACCAAAATCTCGTCATCCCTGTCATTATCTTTGATAAAACAGAGATAGCAATATGTTTTTAATAAAGATGGTCTTAGAAACCCACAGTCGGAGTACTCTGGTATAGTCATAAAAGGTATTCTATACTAAATAATCTGTTGCAGGTAACATTCTACTTCTGGAAGATATCCAGCCCACAACAGAGGATGATGTGTCAGACTACGTGCAGACTTACAGCGTGGAGGCGCCTCAGTCTGACAAAGAGAACAATCATACGAGTCTAGAACGACTGACACAGTTTGAGGACACGAGCACATCGGACAGTGTTACCAGTCACATCTCAGACAGCGGGGAACCTAAACTAGCGCTTATTGATTTTGAATACTGTGCTTATAATTACAGGTGAATACTATTTAATTATCAATCCATTTTTAGTATTTTATGGTCCTTCGAGCAGGATTTTTTTTTGTTTTCATTTTATTTAATAATTAGCTGTAGCCCGTGACTCTGTCTGCAGGGAATTAATAGAAAACTTTATAAGTAACCTTTGTTGTCTTAATCTGTACTAAATTTCATCAAGATCTGTTTAGTCGTTACTGAGATATCTTCGAACATCCATCCATCCATCTAAACTTTCGCATTTATATTATTATATTTTAATCCAATTTTTCATAATAAGTTTCAGTGTTATGTATTTCTAACTGACACTTAGCATATTTTTAACTATGATTATCATTATGGTAATTCAACATTAAAAACAACGCCCTCTATTGGTTAACAATACTAAACTACAGTTTTTCAGCATTTTTGAAATTTTAAACAGTATATTAACTACAGTCAAACCAGGATACGCTAGAATCCAATGAATTGCTTAATTTTCTCGCTTAAACAGGTCTTTTACCTGAGTTTCTCGCTTTTAATCGCTAATCCAGTTTTGACAGTACGTTTAAATCTATTATTATTTGTTTTACAGAGGCTTCGATATCGCAAATCATCTCCAGGAATGGGCGTATGATTACACGAACCCTGAACCTCCCTTTTACTATGAGAACCAGGAGAATTGGCCAAATCTAGAGCAAAAGGTCAGTTGAATTGTATGGAAACAGCTTTATTGGATTGTATGAGACATAATGGCTTATACATTGACTTATGGATAGAGTGATCTTGTAATTTAAAAATATAAAATTGTCTATGGTTAATTACACAGCAAATTAATTATTAATCTATGAATTAGTCTATGTTTAGGTCTAGATAATTTACAATATCACTCTAATTTCATCGGTTTCATCATATTTTTGAAGTTACAGACAAAGGGAATGAATCATAGAACCAAAGCTCGCTGAGGTTTGTTATAATCATTACATTAAAGTGCGATTAACTAAAGATATACAGTCCAACCGGGATAAGCGAGAATTTGGTACGTGAGAAAATTCTATAAGCGTGAAAATATCGCGGTTGGACTCGCGCTTATCTAGGTTTGACTGTATTTCATAATATATTTTCTATAATGCATGCTTACTAAGATGTCTCTTTTTGTCACTTTTTATAACTTTCTTAACAAATATCCGATTTGGTTAAAATTACACTAAAATTGTATCAGCCTTTGAATTTTAAAAATACATTTATAACCTAAAGTTTTGGTTACTTTCCAATTTTATTTCATCATATGGTCATTTTGGCCATATAATTTTATCATCAAAAATCGATGAAAAAACAAAGATTTTTCTATATTTTATTTGATGAATGAATGAAAAATATATATTTTTTATTGGATATAAAGGTTCCCGCCATTACGCAGCTTGTGTTTGTTTTTTATGCTTAATTTTTAGCGCAGTCATCGAGTTGTCAGCCGCGGCTGAACGGACGCGACCTTTGCCTTTTTGACGACGGTTGTATAGAACACAAAATGGCCGCCGCCCGCTCTCGAATCAGTAAATGTACTTTACAAAAGAGAGTCAAATATTATATTTAATTAGTGCTGTTGATTTTTCAGCCTATTAACGATTTTTAACACGTTGAGCGCCACGCGTATTTCTAAGACAATACCGTTCAGGCCACGAGCGCCGCTTATACGCACTGGTATTGAAGGGCCGGTGTTTCGGATCGCAGTACAAAATAGTTTACATTTTTGAAAGTTATACCTATAGGCTTTGTTTCAACACGTTACGCGCCAAGTATGTTTTGTTTTTCTTACCGCTTAGCCCGCTCTGATAAAATTTCTTAGAAATGGATTCGTTGCCGTTATTATTTTTGCGACAAATCAGTTCATCTAGTGTCAGCAACCGATGGCTGACGTGGCGCTCAACGTGTTAATAACCAATTTACGTAAATTTTATATTTTAATTAACATCGTAATTTTTTAGTTGGTCAACTTTTAGGCTGATTTATCATAGGCATATTTAAATGTTTTAAATATTTTTCGTCAAGCATTGAATAAAGAACATTTTTTAGTAAAAAAAAAAACTTTTTTAAACTTAATTTACATGAATCGTAATAATTTATTAATGTAACTATAATATGGTAAGTGAAGGTAACTGAAGATGCAAATGACTATACGTTCACAATAACATGATAGTCTAATGACGTCACAACTTGTAGCGTAAACATATTAATATGTACAAAAATATGACAGTATATTTCAGTCTTATGCAAGAAATTTTTTACGAATTTTTTCAACAATGTTTGACGAAAATTTGCGCTGTCAAATACAAACTCATTGCTAACTGTTATTATCACAAACACGTGTTTTATTTAAAAAACATATATCTCTGCAACTCTTACGAATACTATACAAGTTCTAGAACATTCCAATAACATTTTTAGGAGATATTCATCAAGGAGTATCTTAAGCATTACTTCACCAGCCCCTCTGAGATCAAGGAGCCTTCCATTGACGACATCAACCATCTCCTCACTGAAGTGGAGGCGTTCGCTCTCGCCAGCCATCTCTTCTGGAGCCTGTGGTCCATTGTCAACGCATCCAAGAGTCAGATACCTTTCGGATACTGGGTAAATATCAACATAGTAATATAAAATATGACTTATGTGCGAATCTATAGCCAGACAATCTTTATTTGAGCGATTACAGTTTCCTTTTTTATTGTTATTATTAAACTAATTTATTAAAAACTAAATTAGTAGCCTGTTTGTTCTGTATGTTTCCAAATGTCATCGAGATCCGTTTAGCCGTTCTGAAGATACATTCTAACAAATATCCATCCAAACATTCGCATTTATAATATTAGTAAGATATAGAATATTCTTTGTGGCCAGGTTGAACGTTTCGGTAGTATAACTTGGCTTCCAAAGAGGCCGAATATATTAAACTTCACTAAACAAACTATCCTTCAATGGATTCAGGAGGCCTAAGCTCTCTGTTGTTCTCTATAACTCTCTTTCACCACATTACGTTGAATTTTACAACGCATAACTAGTTTTAATGTTTTTTTACTTCATTTATTATGTTAAAAATGGATTGTTAACTTTCCAGGAGTACGGTCTATCCAGGGTAGAGACATACCTTCGTTTAAAGCAGGAAGTTATAAAAAAGGAAAAATTTGGTTTCCCCCAGAAGAGGAAAATATGTGAAGTCGACATATGAGAGGGTTGCAGCGCGCTCACTGTGTAGGCTAGTGCTATCCCGCTCTAACGGACTAGTATAGTACGGGAGAGAGAGGGACGGACGATGTGCGATGAATTTCCTGTCTCAAATGTCAAGGAAGAAGTATAAATAAGAAAATAATAAAGTGCAAGTATTTTAAGTGTTAATATTTATTTTAAATTGGGTGTATATTATATAAAGATTTCTGTGATATGTGATTATGAAACATCCTGTATCTGTTGTTGACGAAAACATGATACAGGTTGTTAGAATTTTCTAATCACTTTTTGTATTGAAATATATAAAGAATAATATTTATAAAACCACTTAAAATGTCACAAATATACAAAAGAATTACGTGTTTTGAAACATCCTGTATATGGCAGTATTTGTAGACGAAAGTTTGATAATTTTTACGCCTTAAGTTTAAAGAAAAGAAATATTGCTTTTAAATATTTACGATTAATTAAAAAAAAAAACATAATTATGTAATTAACACATCAAATATATTCCATTTACTAATTAATATTGCTTATATACATCAATACAAAGAGTGTATAAAATCATAGGAATAATAAAATAAACCCTATCATTATTATGTTAAATACTTAATCAATTTCTGACATTACAAACTAATTTATTATACTAAACTGATATATAAACACGGCTAAACACTGACGTATGTTCGTCCGGTGGCGGCACCGACTAGTTTCGAGCCCATCGGGAGCCCTTCATCAGGATGAGTGGTCGCTCACGACGGGCCGCGTCCGCGATATAATACCAGTACCACTCATCCTGATGAAGGGCCCCCGATGGGCTCGAAACTAGTCGGTGCCGCCACCGGACGTATATACGTGAGTGTTTAGCCGTGTTTATATATCAGTTTAGTATAATGTCTCACGAAAGTTTGAATAATTTAATTTATTAAATATTCGAATATATATTAAAACAGGTATTCCTAGGATATATTGACTGTAAAAAATATATAATCATTTTCTTATAAAATTCAATAATATAGTCCTACAAACTTATCTGACCCAGTGGGTGCAAGACACTTTATAACACACTAGCACCCCCATGTTGATGTCAAAAGAGTTAACAGCCTTGTACTGCAGCTAATTTATTGGATTAGTACTTTTTTTCCCCCTTGAAAAGCTTCAACTGGTAATAGATGTTAAAGTATTCTTGTGAAAAATTTAACATCCTTTGTAGTCTTGTACAATCGCGTCCATAACAATTTTAAATAAAAAGATTAACTCCATGCGTATTGAATTGTAGTAATTTGGTTATTTTTATGGAATTGCTTTATATATGCTAGCTGTCGCCCGGGACTCCGTCCGCGCGGGATTAGAAATAGATGTTGGCCGATTCTCAGACCTACTCAATATGCTCACAAAAATTCATGAGAATCGGTCAAGCCGTTTCAGAGGAGTATAGGAACGAAAATTGTGACACGAGAATTTATTTATATATAAGATTTACCTGTTTAAAGGATATAAAAATAAATTATATAATTAAAAAAAATTAACACTTTTGTATGTAATAGTACCGTTGATACTATACAGAATGTTAATTTTTTGACAAAGGGAATACTTGATGATCTATTACTCCTTTGGGTTATATCTTTGGGTCGTTTTCTATGACTGAGTTTTGAATATTCTGACGGAATACATCGCTACAGCAGCGCCATTCACCGGGCCAGATAAAGTAGTGAGACTATGTCTTTATGTTAAGACGACCAAAGTGTATTTTATAATTGCTTCGTTTTGAATCTCTTGTTATATTTGTACAGTGGTCGTGATTTTAAAAATTAAGTTAAGTTTAAATTTTAACGCACAATACTTGGAAAAGCTTATAACTGTTAATTATTTCTTTGATGTATTACAAAAAAATTGAGGCTAAAATTTCTTAAATAATTTCTACATAAAATGTATTCAATTTCTACGGAATTTGAATAATAACAAGTTTATAGTAAAAAAAGATATTAGTTTCAAAAACCAGAAAGGCCGACTGTACCCTACTTTGGGGACAGTCGGGTAAAATGGAAAGAATTTTTAAATCGGAAAAACGTAAAAAGCTGCTATGTTTTAAATACTTCGTTAAAAGGTGGCTTTATATTGTAAATAAATTTAATTAAAATGCAAATATAATTCTGTAAATTAATCTTCCTAATTTTGACATTTATTTATCTTTTGTATTTAAATTATTATATTATTGTTGTTATACTTGTTTTTCGACAATGGAAACAGACAAGATTGAAAATTTAATCTAACATTCCCGAATCTTGAATTTATATGCCTTTTAAATGTATTATAAAATATTTGAGCTATTTAATAATGTGACTTTACCCCACGCATATCTTTTCAAAGCACAATATTTTCTAAATTTTAAGATGTTACGCGTGGTGATATAGTGCCTTGGTGTTGACATCAATGGTGCAAAATTGGCATTTAAAAAAAAAATTTGGAAAGTGTTGGTTTTTTGATCAGCCTGTATATAGATTAGGAATGCGGTGCGTATTTAAAATTATAAAAAAAAACATTCCGTACATTTCTTTAATATGCGTAGTTTGTGTAATTTGGATTTGAATTTATTAATTGAAAATTAAATGTACTTATTTTTGCTTTAACCATTGAAATCATGAAGTTCGGTGATTTTTTTATTATATAGAAATAGTAATTAAAATTGATGTTTTTTTATATATATAAGTAGAATATCAGTCAATATGTGATTAAAATTTATAGTATTTACATAATAGGAGAACATATTAACTTCTCTGTCTACCGTTCTAGCTAACAGGCGTGATGGAACGTAAATTACTTTTATTGCCATGTAAAAATATAAAGTGCTTAAAAAATCTTCTTTTCAAATGTTACCATGTTTGACTTGCTTAACAATAAGGCTGTGTAGTAACTAATTAAAAATTAAATAATCAATCGAGTTCTTTTATTTTAATTATAGCTGTCGCCCGCGACTCTGCGTGGATATAAAAAACTTAATATATAGATAAGTTACATTAAAAGCAGCTCTTCAAGGTATAAATTCGAAAATAAATGAATAAGTAGTATCCTATGTCCGTCTCCTGGCTCTAAGCTCCTCCTCTTCACCAATTTTCAACCATATTGGTAAAGCCGTTCTTGAGTTATAAATAGTGTAACTAACAAGACTTTCCTTTATATTCATACTAGCGGACCCGACAGACGTTGTCCTGTCTACACGTCTTTAATTTGAAAATTCGAATATTATTTAAAATTTGACACTGCGATGGTAGCGCCGTCTGTCGGATCCAATGTAAAACATTCCAAAATCAACAACTACTAATAAATTAAAAATTAATTAAAAAAACATTGTCCAGCGGACAAAATTGTGAATCTAAAGCATTCCCAGATCCCCTTGAACACACACAAAAAATTTCATCAAAATCGGTCCAGTCGTTTGAGAGAAGTTCAGTGACATACACACTCACTGAAGAATTATATACATAAAAACTAGCTGTCGCCCGCGAATCCGTCCGCGCGGGATTAAAAATAGATGTTGGCCGATTCTCAGACCTACTCAATATGGTCACAAAATTGAGCATGAGAATCGGTCAAGCCGTTTCGGAGGAGTATGGGAACGAAAATTGTGACACGAGAATTTTATATATAAGATAGATAATTAAACGCTTTTTATTTAGTTTCTAATACTTTTAAATACAATTCTTTTGGAGATTTAATAATAAAATGGTTCAAGGTGGTGTTTAATAAAATTTTCTTAGGAATTATAACAATTTTTAATACAATAACTGAAATAACATTATGTCAACTATTTATGATACACTAATAATTTACAAGACATCAACTGAACACGCTAAATGAAACATCGCGTCCGCATTCACACCAGCACCGAGGTACTTGCCGGGTATCCTGAAAATACATTTATACTATAGAAAAAACAGAACCAGAGACAAGTAACTGGGCTAGAGGTAGCGGGTGCGGTGAGGGCGCGGCGCTAGTGTCGCCGGGTACCTGTGGGCGGG